CTGCTCCGTCGAGGGTCGCTAAGTCAAGGAGTGAGGGGTCGGACGACCGTGATTCTACATCACATTCATGCACATGGACAATGATTAATTCAACACCAAGTCTTATACTCACGAAGGTTTACTTTGTCTCAGTGAATCTCGCAAGGCAGGATAGACTCGTCCCATAGTGTGAAACAAAGTGACAGCGATTCGCCTCTGGTCGTTGGAACACCCGCATCACTCTACTCGTGTTACATGTATCTTTTTATAGGGTTCGAGCCTGCCCTGACTTTGATCTCATGTTCCAATACAATGATCACAAAAACAAACAATTAGCCAAAACACATACATTTGTATCTCTATAGATTTGTCCCGACATTCTCTCTTCATTACTTTCCACAAACATCCGACATTGAAGCAATCGTGAGAATAACCGCAAATCTAAAATGAATGTGCTGTAATTTTCGAATATTTTAGGTGATGCATTTCTACCTTACATCCTCATCACTGGAGAACAGTTTCGGAGGATATATACATATATGTGTGCGTGTGCGTGTGTGCGCGCGCGCGCGTGTGTGTATGTGTGTGTGACGAAAATGCATCGCATGTGCCGTACATTAACAGGTAGCTATTTTCATTCATGTCCTGATTGGCAAAACCAAATCGATACAGCAGTAAGAGAAGTCATTTGTTTGTACTGACCAAACAAGTAAGCGCTAATCAAATGCTGTTTCTCTACAACAGAGAACAAGTTGCATTCATGTCCTAATAATTGAACCCAAATCAACACCGGTAACTAGGGTGGTGTTTGTGATGTCATTTTAACAAAGTGCTGGTTAAATGGTGCGACTAACACGTGGTTGTCTACATCTACTACGGCAAACACCGTTGGCGACGATGATGATGTACTCCCTGATATCATCTGTATTCCGTTATAATGTCTTCCAATTAAGTACAACAGCACATTAACGCCATTCAGTTCGTTACAATTCCCACACATGTGGAGGTCATTAAAACACACGCCCTATTAGTCTGAAATACCTGAATTAACAAATGGACCACTAGACACAATGTACAGACCGGGGCAGATTTTATGACACATACATTTCTCTCTTCAATGTAACTAATGCTGATGGCGAACACCTGTATCATCACTGACATCCACTTCGTTTTAGAACATTATTTCAGCAGAATTCCCTTATTAAGTTATGGTCTAGAAGCCAGACCCCCAAAATGGTGAAAATGTGGTGCAGTTCTGGCGACCAAACGGGATGTGATTTTTCATAATCAAGAATGATTTAGCTTTGATTTAAAGCCGGTTGTCATCAGCTACCGTGCGTGACTACCGTACAGAGGCCCTTTTAAGGTGCAACATGTCATGTCAGTTATGGCAATATTTTAACCTATTACTGGGTGGTTTAATTTAATAACTCTGGTTTGGTTTGACCGATTTTCATAAAAATAGTAGTTTTGGAATGCTCAGATCATGATTTAAAATTGTGGACAATAATATAACATATATGTTCATCGCAAAAATATTTTGGTAAGGTCAAAGGTCAGTTTTAATAGAAAGGGCATTTGATGAGAAAATATGAGTTGAACTTTACAAATCAAAGGTAATTGTTTCCAAAATTATGTTTTTCTAATTCAGCTATATCATTTGAAGATCATATATACCTTTGGTTTGCAGTGTATGCATGAAAAAACATTACAAGGAAACAAAAGTTGGTACTTTGTATTGAGATCAGCAAAATATTATATAATGTCTGTTCAACAGTAACAGCTCCATGCTTTACATAGTCAACGATACCAAATATGTCGAAGATACTGTTGGACTATCTCTAAAATCACACAACATAACAGGAAGCTCTTAAATGTAAAATTCTATTATTCCAGATGTCTTTCTTTGCTCATCAAAGAATGATGAGTCAGTCATGTCATCATAACACAAGCAACATTTCCTTCATATCAATTCGTGTCTATTGTTCCTAATAGTCATAGTGTTTTCCTAGTTGACATGTTAACCAATGTCAACAATGTCAAGATCACGGGAACATGTTTCAAGTCCACATCCACATGCCGAAGTACACAACAGGTTCAACCTCTTTGACACCTTCCTGTACATTGACTTTTACATGCACAGTTATGAAGTTGAAGAAGGTCCACGGAAACCATTTAGTCTTAACTTATTTGCAACTTTATCAATTTTACAAATTTAAGTTAATTTTACCAAAATTATGTTTTTATAATTCAGCTATATCATTTGAAGATCATACATATCTTTGGTTGGCACTGCATGCATGAAACACAACAATTCAACTGATGTCAGAAGTGTCAATATTGTTTATATATGTGTCACTTCACGCTCCAGCTGCAATGACATGCTGTGAAACCCTTAAAGTTGATGAATAATAATATGACATCCTAATGAAAGGTTTACAAGTGACATTATGGTGTTCCATTTTTTCTGTTTACAATGTGAAATATTACGACTTTGGTTTTCTTTATTTATTTTACACCGGCAAAAGATATGACACACTGATCAGAAAGGCGTTATGGTATCTTACCACCAAATATACACACCCGTCATATACCTCTGAAATACACAGTATTCCCAATACATTCCTTTTGATTGTAATATAGGTGATGTAATTTCCGACTCTTTTCTAAGTTTACTTTGGTTCGAAATATGAATATTTCCTTAGGTGGGAAAACATTTGTAAATTTGCAAGTTTTCAAATGTTTTCATGGCTTAAAACCTTGTGCAGAATTCCGGATATCAAGGGTATGTATTTGAACACTTTTTATATGCTCATGTTACCAGTACTAAAACAAAATGGTCACAGAAAATCTGGGTTCATATTGTGTTATTCACATTGAGGTTTGATAGTTGTTTAGGCTATGCAATATGTTATTACTCTCTCCTGATTTATTGGGAGTTCACTGACAACAACATTACAGTTTGCAACATGTTTCTCATCCATGCATTATACAGCGCAGTTCTTGATTCATTCAATCAAAAACAAAACATCTGTAAAAATACTTGTGATCGGAACCTACTTAAAACTGCATTGCTCACAGGTACTTTCACACAGTGTTGTTTTACCTTTTAAAGTTCTTTTAGGTAAGCTTGTTTTCAAATGTATTGATTTAGTATTTCAAGCATCGCTGCAGGTTATCTGGATGTCTGGACGTATCAACGCATTAACGCCTTGAACATATACCTCCCATCTTTCCTCTATTTCCACTACCCCATGGATAATTGAAGAAAATAATCATCCTGATTAAGAGATCGCACAAGCAATCGTACATACAATGTACTTGGATTAACCTTTCCATATTCCATAAAATATCAAGCAAATATTCATTATCATAAATACACAACGTTTCTCGGCTACTAAGAAGCAGCCTAGAAACGTTGTGTTGTAAATAATAAAGAAGTTGTAAATCCATACCATACGTTGTTATGTTATCTTCCAACTTCTAAATGCCCATCAAGCATCTACATGTTGATCAGTTTACAGTGCAAACATTATGAAAATTTACCCATGAATAAATATAGTGATTACGATGTAGTTGTGTGGCATTTCACCAATCAGGACACACACAAACACACACACTCGCGCGCACGCACGCACGCACGCACACACACACACACACACACACACACACACACACACACACACACACACATTACAGGATCCTGGCACGTTATACCAAGCGGAAGCCTCTGAAAATAGGAAATTTTGATAGCAATATATAACTCCGTATATACTGAATTAGCCCCAGTGAGTTCGGAGATTCAGAACTAGACTGGCTTCAATTTGGACTATTGCATTACAGAAGGGGTTGGGCCGAAAGTTTGGAGTATGAGACAGACTACTGGCATGTGTAAGGTCCCAGCGATACAGAGCGAATGTGGTTCTTACAAGGAGGGAAACGCATTTAAAAAACCCTAATCCTAGTAATATTAGCATACGTATTTCGGAAACTAAATATATAGATCTGGGCAAAAAAATGAAAAAATGTTTCTTTACTTTTACAAAACGTTATTTTAAAAAATGAACCCCTCTGACAAACAGCTGCAGTACAAAGTCCAACACTGTACACTCCTTGAACGTACACGCCAAACAGTCACACACCTGCTTACCACCCTTAAAATCATCATCACCCCTACTAGCCATAAATTATGAACGGTCCCTAACAGTAACTGGGACGTGTGACTTCAGAGATATTATTCAGCAAATTTCGTTTTACGTTGTCACCATCCACTCCTCACACACGTGGCTAATCACCAGCATGACCACTGCAGATCGCGGAAGTTACACACGGTAGATACCCCTCACCCCGAACTTTGTGCCCGTAATTCTCACTGTGCAGTTTATGTGTGTGATGGACACTGTTATCTGGAACAATAGAGTCACATTATTCCACCGTTTTCAGCAATATTCCAATATCACGGCGAGGGGACACCAGAAATGGGCTTCACACAATATACCCATGTGGGGAATCGAACCCGGGTCTTTGGCGTGACGAGCGAACGCTTTAACCACTTGACTAACCCACCGACCCTAAAGTACATCTGAAAACTCTGGGTAAATATTAAGTTTGACATGAATATTATGATACATATTCGTTAAATGGTAATCATTTTTTCCGAACGTATCGTTTCTAGATCCCTCTTGTTAGTAAATAAGTCAATGCGAAAAACTATTCTCAGTATCATGGACCACAGAAACACATTGACGACACCGGGTGTTTGAAAAGAGAGAGCTGGTGCCAAACTGGTTTGGTTGACTTCCTTTTCCATAAAATACATTCTGCAATTGTTTGAAATACATTTTCTAGGGAAGCCATTTGAGCAATGTGATTGGGTGAGGGGTCCTCAGCAACAACGCAGTGAAAGCATACCACTGTCAACATACTGTACGTACACCATTCACAAACTGTCAACATACTGTACGTACAACATCCATCATTATCAACATATACAGTACGTACAACACCTATCCACTATCAGCATGCTGAACGTCAAATACCCAAACACTGTCAACATACTGTACGTACCCACCCACCCAAACATCTTAAGAGAATATTCAGGCTATTCATTAAAGAAAGAGAGAGAAATTAACCTGCGCTAACTAGCCTCACAACCATCATGTACTTATTGTCATGAACTGTTTCACTGTTTATAAACCCAGCCCAGGCCTGTGCCAGAACACAGTACCAAGTCCACCACCAAACTTTGCGTAGAATTTTAAGACTCAAACAGATGCATTACCCTGAGTGCAACAAAAGCCGTATTCCTGTCAGGAAACCCGGGCATTGTGCCAATGAATGAGGTACCAAGAACAACGGTTGTTTGTTGGTTTGGTTGTTTAACGCCGCACTCAGCAATATTCCAGCTAAATAGCAGGCTGTAAATCATCAAGCCTGGACCAGACAGTCCAATGATCAACAGCATGAGCATCGATGTACACAATTGGGATACAATGACATGTGTCAAACAAATTGGCGAGCCTGACCACCCGGTCCCGTTAGTCGCCTCTTACGACAAGCACGGGTTGCTGAAGAACAAATCTAACCCGGATCTTCACGGGTATTTAACGTCATCGCCACTGAATAACGACTCTCTAATGTCCACATTAGCAGGGCCCCGTTTCACAAAGCTATCGTAGCGCTATGACTATCGTAGTTCTATGTTACAGTATAGGAGGTACAACAGTCGCAGCACTACGATAGCTTTGAGAAACGGGGCCCTGTTTCATGTGGGCGTAAAAGGCAAAAGAAGCGGTGTCCAGATGACACCAGGTGTCCAGATGACACCAGACGAGCATGTCCTGCCCTACTGGTGCACAATTTGCAGAAATAGTGTTCCTCAAAGCGGAAATATATAAACAACGTTGAGGAAGTAAATGTCCCAAAGGACGTGTAAGTCAGGAAACTGTGAAGAGAGTAAAAGTCGTAAAAAAGATGTAAGAAAAATGTAAAGCCATGTTTGTAGAAAATATAACAGATACGTAAGTCTCGAAAACGAGAAGGGAGCGACAGTCGTGAAGGACCTGGAAATAGAAAAAAACGTCCCACATCAAAACTAATATGTGTCAAAAGCCTAGTCGATTGTGCGATTCCGATTAAAACAATGTGTTCATGTTTATTAAATATTGGTGATATCAGCTGTTCGCGAACAGTTGAACGTATCCTGCATAACAATTGGTATTCTTCACACACACGTGTAAAGCCAGACAACTGTGCACCCCAAAAACACGTGAACACATGGTACAAGTTATATTATGGGGATTGCTTCGGATATCATTTTTTTACTGATGCATCCAATTTAGAAATGTTCACCATGTGAGTATAATATAACCTTTGGATAGCTTTACTAAGGCCTTGGATGTTGTAACCTTGATAAAACAAGTTCTGATCAAAAGTCATATAACGATCTTTGACATCCTGGTAAAGGATCATGCTCGATTGTACCTCAAAAGTTGCGAAATGAGAGCACCAATGGCTGGTGCTGTTGGAATATTGCTCGACATGAAGAGAAAGTTTACTATTGGAACTTGGAAGATGACATAATCCTATTTGTCATACAGCCTTGGGGTGAGGTTTTGTTCTTTAAGGTTGTTGACATCTGAAGGGCGAGTTAGGAAAATATACATGCAAATGGTACTGCTTCCGAAGGTTTGAATCCCAGATTGGACCTGGCTATGAGCCATGGTTTGCCTGCACCATACTACTGCATGTTACCAGGACAGCAAACCTTTACCAGCCTCACTTTGGTCTTTCTTACCATGATACTTCCCCACATGGGTACAATGTATGAAACCCATTTCTGGTGTCCCCCCGCCGTGATATTGCTGGAATATTGCTTAAAGCGGCGTAAAGTATCTCACTCACTCACTCTTACCATGATACATAACTGATGCTCAGTCCATCTCTCTCCCTCAATGCATGTACGAACATTGTTGAGTCATGTCCAATATTGAGACCACACAGTTCCACGTTTCATCTCAGACGGTGAACTCCCCAATACACCAGTCACAACCAGAACATGTACACAATACCACGTGCCTCTAGTGACAGTCAACATTACATCGGCACATCGCTACATGACCACCTATCGAATCCACACGGGAAAACTGGGACGTTGTGGTCAGAAACCATTGCTATCCTACTACAAACCAGCATATTGCGTTGCAGATTTTTGAAGAGAACACTTGTGATGCCTACACATGACCTTCCACCAACAACCCACAGTGCCGCAAATATGCTTAGATTTGCTGATAAATTACCCCCGAACTTTAGACGAATGTGTTGGTTGCTGGACACTCAGTGTTTTTTTGCTGTGTCATTTCCCCAGCTCAATAAATAAAGCTCGGGGAACACAGATAAGCAGGCATCACAGACATCAAAATGGTCAAGGCAAAGAAGTGGATACTTGCTTCACAATTTGTGGGGAGCCAAAGGGCTCCAACTTCAAGTTCGAAGAGGAGAACCTTCCTGCATTGAAAGATGGAGGTGAGAGTATGGCGTAATGATGGCCTTGAGATCTCCCACTTACACAGTCCGCCGGGATTATGTTTATGTATTGTTGCATCTGGAGTAATATATGGCAATCACTCATATACATTTTAATTATTGATAGGTGTATTATTTCAACCACTGTCAGACGAAAAACGCAATAGTTTCAAGCATCTATGCTTTCTTAAATTTCACAAATGTTAGCGTTCCTTTGAATTACGAAAGCCTAAAGCAGACATTTTTGTAAGATAAGATAGTTTTTCAGCGACATTTTCCTTTCCTTCGATTAGTTTTCTCATTGCTTTGTGTATTTTCTCGTTATTTCAATTATTTTCTCATGGCTTCAATTAATTGGTCAAGTATTTTCTCGTTACTTAAAGTTACTTTTAACAACTTGAAATGCAGATTTCTCGTTGCTTCGACATTTCGACTTGTTTCGTGGATGTTTCGGGCTAGTACTATTTTAAGACATAATATAAATCTAAGCATGTGAAGCATGAATATGACATCGTTGCCATCGTTAATAGTGAGTGATAATGAGTTGAGTTTTACGCCGCTTTTAGCAATATTCCAGCAATATCACCGCGGCGGAACACCAGAAATGGGCTTCGCACATTGTACCCATGTGGGGAATCGAACACGGGTCTTCGGTGTGACGAGCAAACGCCTTAACCACGAGGCAACACCACCGCCCCCATCATTAAAATGCAACAATGACCTAGTAATGCCGATCACAGAAAAACATCACACGTGATCGATGAGACATCAGAAGAGAATCTAAACTGTGGAGTTGTTATCATTGGCTATGGTGGCGTCTCTTGGCAGCTGCTTAACTTTGATCATACCATGTAAAAATGTTTACATTAAAGACTGCATATTATATCCATTATATATTTGCGCTCTTAAATGTAAAAACATCATTTTCACATAAAGGTGTAATCTAGTACATATCTATGCTATTTTTCGCATTCTTTTGTTTTTTATCGTTTTTTAAATTATTAGCATTATTTCTATTCTTCCTTGAGCTCTGTAGCTACAAATAGTATATCCATGGAACTGGCTCTTATTTTCGGGTTTTCTGACAATGGTCATTACTGTCATATCATTCAGCCGATCTTATTCAGTCTATGTTATACTCTACAAGAGAGTTGGGGAATCTGAATTTTCAATTTGGATAGGAAGTATAAGCGTTAATAAACTTTTCAAAGACAGACATCTTATGAACGCACCACCATTTCTCTTTATCACCACCCCTAAACACAACGCATGGGATGCACGTGCACAACACAGTAGCCCCATACAGGTGCATGGTGTATCATTCTTGATTTTGACGGTTTTCAAGGTCTATAAATCACTGTAGACCATTAACTTTGAGAATCCTTTTGCATCACACAGTTGTTAGTATTTGTTTCTAACTACTTTTTTGTTTGCTTGAAAATGCAAATCATACACATGCAAAATTCACGTCATACACCAATAATCTTTCAAGAGCGATTACTGTACAAACAACTATGGTCAGAAGGAAGTGCAAGTGGTGATGCACTCTCAAAACATTCATTATTATCATATTAACATTAATTGACTCCGATATATCTCCCAATGTTTTCAGTCGTAAATTAAAAAGGAAGTTCCCCTACTTTTTTAAGAGTATACATACGATACAAAGCAAAAGTTTGTTAACGCGATCTGCTGTAAAATGCGAATGCGCTACAATGGCTTTGTGAAACGGGGCCCAGGTCCGTGGTGGCCTAGTTAGATCCGAGGTTGCTTCACGTAAACAGGTAGCTAATCGTCCCAGTTAATGGTCAGGTTATCTACTATATAGGACACGAGCAGGCAGTTCATTCGAGGTGAGGTTTAACATGAATTCATTCATCTCCTTCCAGTGACTGGCGGTATTGTACACACGTGTAAACAAAGTGCTTCTCGCAGATTACAGGGCTCGTTGATTTAAAATAGCAAGTCACAGGGATATTTCACCGTCCAGTTGAGGACAAACAAGTTTTGCTGCTACATCAATTACAGACAGTCAAAACAAGCAGGGACAAGTACGTCTCCATCTAACACCAGTTCCTTACGAGTATCATGTTTATTTAATGCACCCCCGTCTCCCCTTTCCCCAATAACTGAAATCAATAAGTATAAAAATATCCTATTCCTTTTTGGAGATTTATTTATTTATTTATTTATTTATTGATTTATTGATTTTATTTTATTTTTGATTGATTTATTTTATTGATTTATTTTATTTTATTTTATTTTATTTTAATTTTTATTTTAATTTATTTTATTTTTTATTTTATTTTATTTTATTTTATTTTATTTTTATTTTTATTTTATTTATATTTTATTTTTTTTATTTTATTTTTTTTTTTTTTAAATATTTATTTTTCATTTATTTATGGGGCGGGGGTGGGGATTCCTGCCTAGTTGAAGTGATCAAAAGAAGTACATATAAAGTTAAAATGCACGAAGAAATTGGTTGGTTTAGATTGCAATCTATCTATTAACAGTGTTTTAGTTTCACCTTAGGTGTCAGGACTGTAATTAATGAGAGAGAGTTTTAAGAACGTCCGTCCACACGCCGCCCCAGTCGCGTTTTAGTTGTATCATCTAATCCATGGTGAAACTTTAGTTATCTTCTTGTCATTAGAGTGATGTTTGAGGTTGATCATGACACCAAATGTACACCCTGAACGAAGTTTGTATTCACCAACAAAATTAGTTGTAAAATGTGTTTTTATTGAACATTCATGTGAGGAAACTTAAGCATACAAATGTAGGGTACATTAGATTGACCTTTAGCGGAGATATCTTTTGATTCTGATTTCTTACGATTTGTATTGTAGAAATACCTTTTACGATGCAGAAATTACGAATGGACGAGGTATGATACGGACCCTTTTCGAAACAAGGATCTGCATACTTTAAGAATAAATCGACAACACTCTTTCCACAATTCCCACATCAATAAAAAAAAATTCAAGAAGCAGAGTCGATTGTACAATTCTGACTGTATCAACATTAATTTTGACTTCTGACAACACTAAAACTGTTGGTAACTAAAATATAGCATTTCAAATAATTGTCGAGAAATGTTCTCAAGGATGAAACATTGTTTCGAGACTTAGCATCGTCAAATGACAGTTTAAGTGTCCATGTATTTATACTCATGTAATATTTTCTGTTTGTTTTAGAATTCATCTGTGATGCAGTATATCTCAGTGTGGACCCATACATGAGGTAACATCGAGTTTGGATTCATTTTTCCCAAATGGTTTTATTATATTGGATTAGACTACCCATTGATTGAAATAGTGTCATGTGCTTTGGAAAGTCGAATCTACAGCATAGATATCTCTACACATAAAGGGACGGTATGCCAGGTCGTTAATAAACAAATGGACCCGTGAAAATCCGGGTTAGAATTGGTCTTCAGTTGCCCTTGCTTGTTGTAAGAGACGACTAACGGGATCGGATGGTCAGGCTGGCTGACTTGGTTGACACATGTCATCGGCTCTCAGTTTCGTAGATTGATGTTCGTGCTGTTGATCACTGGATTTTCTGGTCCAGATTATTTACAGACAGCCACCATATAGCTGGAATATTGCTAAGTGTGGCGTAAAACAACAAATCAAACGAAAATAGAATACACCAAATGTGTTCCTGTGTCTGGTGGAACCTACTGTGCATATGGTTAACATACATACTTACCTCGCCCCAATTGTAGTTTTTTTTTGTAAAGTATTTTTATTCACTTTACTTGGTTACATTTGAACAAGATATGTGGGTAGAGTTGAATGGTACAGGTTGCATACTAGAAAGCAGACAATGTATAACATATGGTACTGGGAATATAGATTAACAATTGAGATGCTAGCTAATATTACAGAGAATTAAAAGACTAAAAAATAAATTACAGGACTGCATCTAGGACATTCCATTTTCTGTAAAAATGTTTCATATTATCGTTTTTCTTCTCGATAAATTTCTCTATCTCGTAGACATCTTTTAATAATGTTCTGTAGATGGTGAAGCTAGGTTTGTGTCCTTTTATATTCATTACGAAAATGTGGCGCTTTGCCAATAGTATCATGTGGTTGAGTAAGTGGTTACTACTGCAACAAAATAGAATATCATGGTTTGACATTTCATACGTTTTACCAAGGACTTGAGTTATAAAATTGTTAAATTCTGACCAGAACATTTTGATGGTTGGACAATCAAGGTATACATGGTAAATATCCTCACTTACTGAACCACATAATGTACATAGGTCATTATCTATCAATTTCATTTTTAGTAATTCTCGTTTAGTGTAAATGACTCTATGCAAAAACTTATATTGAAAATCTAATAGTTTCGTGTCTTTAGTGCATTGTCTATATTGTGAAAATATTGTTTTCCAATTTATCAACTCATTTAGTTCCCCGTTCCATTTGAGACACACATTCGGAATGTTATAGTAGTTGGTTTCACTTCTTTTCCAGGACGCGTGTTTCCTCTGTCGGGAGTGTCATCATGGGCGAACAGGTAGCGCGGTAAGCAGCCTTGTGATTTCTACTGAATATTTTTGTGTTGTTCTGGATTCATAAAAACCCACTCGTTTACATCTCATTATCGTTATCTGTGAATTCAAAGAAATATCACATGGGAAAGGTCACAGTATCGCTGTTGGATAAGAGCTCGGGAAAAGGCAGTTAGTGGGTCACATACAGACGTTTGGTGGCTCTGAAGTCAGAACTCGTCTGACCACCTTTGGAGTTCAGAACTGAGCGACATCGTCTCGGCATGGAACGAATTAGTCTCTGGATCTGATGTTGCTGCATCGTAGTTCACTCTGCCTGTAGTGCACGTGCGGGTTGCTGAAGTGTCTGAGGCTGTGGGTTGCACCGTCGCACCCGTCTGTCCAGGGGATCCCAAAGATGTTCGATCGGGTTTAAGTCTGGTGATCTGGAGGGCCAAGGCAACACATTGATGCTCTGAATGTGCAGGAAGTCTCTCGTGACACGTGCTGTATGTCGTCTGACGTTGTCCTGTTGGAACAGCTTCCTCTGACGGTTGAGAATAGGAAGGAGGTGTGAACGAAGGATTTGATGACTAGCGTTGAGCTGTCAGACTGCCTTGGATCAAAACCAACTCACTGCTTCTATTGTAGGTTATAGCTCCCCACATCGTCATGCTTCCCCTGCCGAATCCGTCCACCTGGGGGATGCAGGCGTCGGCAATACGTTCCTGACGGCGTCTGTACACACGCATTCTTCCATCGCGTCGTTCCAACAGAAATCTCGATTCATCGCTGAACAAGATTGGACGCCACTTTACCAGGGTCCAGACCTGAACATTGCTGCACCATTGAACACGATGTTGTCGATGCTGATGACGCAGCGTGGGACCAAGCTACGGTCTTCTAGCTCATAAACCTGCCTCTCGCAGTCTGTTCCTGACGGTCTGCACAGATATTCTTCTCAATCCCTGTATTTGCGGTTCTTGTCGCTGTAACTGTTCAGTGACGCAGATGATGTACCCGGATGTACCGATCTTGCGCTGCAGGGGCAACTCGAGGTCCTACGCTTCTAGGTCCATCTTCTACCGACTTCTGTTGGTGATATCCCTCCCAGAGACGAGAAATCCTGCTGTGATGGACGTTCGTACGACGGGCAACTGTAAGTTGAGACTGTCCTGCTTTCAGGAGATCTCCAGCAATATGTCGATTGGCGCGTTTCAGTAGTGGCAATTTGCATTCCCCCAAAACTCCCAAATACAGTGAATAAACCAAAGAGAGTGATCGTGCATTGCACGTGCATTTTGTGTTCTGCGACATTACATGTACATGCGTCTATTGAAAATCAGGCTGTTACATACAGGTATTTCATGCGGGATGCGTTTGGATGTGATGTTTTAAAACAAAAACACCATAGAAATCATAAACAAAATAAACAGTCTTGTAAAATCCTTCCTGTACCAATACACTGCTGCATCAAAATGCCATTTTCGTTATGCGTTTCTTTTTTGAGAGAGGGTATATTTCGGTATAAAACATAGCATGGACGAGCAGAGTCGGAGAATTTTGACAAACCACAGGTTCGGTTAAGACTTAAAGTTGGGATATTCAGGTACGGTTTAGTTCACTATTTGGCATTTGTTCCCAGGGTGACGGAGAGTGAAAACAAGGACTACCCCGTCGGATGCCTGGTGCAGGGTGTGTTGGGGTGGCGTTCGCCTACACTGGTCGACGCTACAAATAGGAAGGTCACTGAAGCCATGTTTCTTTCCAAAGTGCCCGACCTTGGAGAACTAGAACCCTCCGCCGCACTGGGAATCTTGGGCATGCCAGGGTAGGTGTTCTCATCAACAGTGAATTAGGTGGTTGGTCCATAAAGGTGTTTTCTGAAAAATGTCAATAAATTACATTACATGGGATGCAAGTACATGAATATTTTATGGCATTACATTAGGTGTCGTGTCAGTGAATAGTTTCGGTGTCATTGAGAATGACGTCAGTGATTTAAGAGTTGTAAATTAATCAAAGATGATGGAAATGAATAGGTGAATTAGATATGATGTTAGTGATTTTGGTGTAATGTGAAACGGTACTGGCAGTGTATGAGTGGGTGATGTTTTAACATTCAGTAATATTCCAAGTATATCACAGAAAGAGAGTCCAGACAACTAGACAAACCAGTGGTTGATATCAAGACAAACCTCCAATGTCGTCGAGTGGGATGACGTGAGTGTTGATGTCAATGAATGTACCACTTTTATTTTATTTGAACAGCGTGAACATCCCCAGGTTTTGATATTTTGCATTGAGCGACTGCAACATTTCAGGATGACAGCTTATTTTGGGTTCCTGGAGCTCTGTCAGCCAAAGGCTGGAGACACTGTAGTGGTCAACGGTGCAGCAGGGGCGGTGGGCAGTGCTGTCGGACAGATCGCCAAGATCAAGGTGAGAATTCAGACAGTATAATCCAACAACTGAGAAAATATATGTGATGCTTCAAAAACGACCACCTCACCACCTCACCACCTCACCCACCTCACCCACCTTACCACACCAACACTCTCCCCACCTACACTCGGAACACACAGGTCCGGTTAAGCTGACTTTTAATAAACAGCTCATGATATTAGTAATTTGTAATTTATATAAAAGATTAACATTGCTCAGCAGATAGTATTGAAACAGTTTTAAATAGCTTTAACATCGTTTCCAGGGATGCAAGGTGATTGGCTTTGCTGGATCAAAGGAGAAATGTGATTGGGTGAAGAGTCTTGGATTTGATCACGTGTTCAACTACAAGGAACAAGACATCGACAAGTCCCTGAAAGCGGCGGCCCCCGACGGAGTGGACTGCTACTTTGATAACGTACGTACAGCGTCCACCTATTGTCAAAATACTGTACAACTTCAACAAATGGATAAACTGTCATTTGGCAGTAGGCGACAAAGGATGGGCACAGTTAGATCTGGTAGTGGACAAGGCTTCGACTATAGAAACCATGTAGAAAACCTGGGTTCAACGCTCATTGGGCAGTAGAAGACCAGGGTTGAACACTTATTGGGCAGTAGAAGACCAGGGTTGTACACTTATTGGGCAGCAGAAGACCAGGGTTGCACACTTATTGGGCAGCAGAAGACCAGGCTTGCCCACCTATTAAGGGCAGCAAAAGACCAGGGTTGCACACTCATTGGGCAGTAGAAGACCAGGGTTCAACACTCATTAAGCAGTAGGAGACCAGGGTTGCACACTCATTGGGCAGTAGAAGACCAGGGTTCAACACTCATTGGGCAGTAGAAGACCAGGGTTCAACACTCATTGGGCAGTAGAAGACCAGGGTTGCACACTCATTGGGCAGTAGAAGACCTGGGTTCAACACTTATTGGTCAGTAGAAGACCGAGGGTTTCGTCCTTATTGAGCAGTAGAAGACCAGGTTTCAAAACTCATTTGCAGTAGAAGACCAGGGTTGCACGCCCTGATTAGGCAGTAGAAGAGCAGGTTTCAAAATTCATTGGGCAGTAGAAGACCAGGGTTGCACACTTATTGGGCAGTAGAAGACCAGGGTTTCGCCCTTAATGGGCAGTAGAAGACCAGGTTTCAAAACCCATTGGACAGTAGAAGACCAGGGTTTCGCCCTTATTGGGCAGTAGAAGACCAGGGTTCAACACTCATTAAGCAGTAGAAGACCAGGGTTTAACACTCATTGGACAGTAGAAGACCAGGGTTTAACACTCATTGGGCAGTAGAAGACCAGGGGTTAGAAGACCTTAATGGGCAGTAGAAGACCAGGTTTCAAAACCCATTGGACAGTAGAAGACCAGGGTTGCACACTTATTGGGCAGTAGAAGACCAGGGTTCAACACTCATTGGGCAGTAGAAGACCAGTGTTTAACACTCATTGGACAGTAGAAGACCAGGGTTTAACACTCATTGGGCAGTAGAAGACCAGGGTTTCGCCCTTATTGGGCAGTAGAAGACCAGGGTTTCGCTCTTATTGAGCAGTAGAAGACCAGGTTTCAAAACTCATTGGGCAGTAGAAGACCAGGGTTGCACACTTATTGGGCAGTAGAAGACCAGGGTTCAACACTCATTGGGCAGTAGAAGACCAGGTTTCAACGCTCAGTAGTCAGTAGAAGACCAGGGTTGCACACTTATTGGGCAATAGAAGACCTGGGTTCAACACTTATTGGGCAGTTGAAGACCAGGGTTCGACACTTATTGGGCAGTAGAAGACCAGGGTTGCACATACTTATTGGGCAGTAGAAGACCAGGGTTGCACACTCATTGGGCAATAGGAGACCAGAGTTCAACACATATTGGGCAGTAAAAGACCTGGGTTCAACACTCATTGGGCAATAGGAGACCAGAGTTCAACACATATTGGGCAGTAGAAAGACCTGGGTTCAACACTCATTGGGCAGTAGAAAACCAGGGTTGCACACTCATTGGGCAATAGGAGACCAGAGTTCAACACATATTGGGCAGTAAAAGACCTGGGTTCAACACTCATTGGGCAATAGAAGACCAGGGTTCAACACTTATTGGGCAGTGGAAGACCAGGGTTCAACACTTATTGGGCAGTAGAAGACCAGGGTTTCGTCCTTATTGAGCAGTAGAAGACCAGTTTTCAAAACTCATTGGGCAGTAGAAGACCAGGGTTTCGCCCTGACTTGTTGAGCAGTAGAAGAGCAGGGTTTCAAAACCTCATTTCGCAGTAGAAGACCAGGGTTGCACACTTATTGGCAGTAGTGCACACTCAGCAATAAGACCATTGGGGTTTCAACACATTCATTGGGCAGCAAGAGACCAGGGTTTCGTCCTTATTGGGCAGTAGAAGACCAGGGTTGCACACTTATTGGGCAGTAGAAGACCAGGGTTCAACACTAAGTGGGTAACGTGTGAGTGAGTGTAGTTTTACGCCACATTTAGCAATATTCCAGCAATATCACGGCGGGGAACACCAGCCCTACCAGCGAAATAGGCCCATGGTTGGCACAGATGTGGCAGTTTTAGACCTTTGTGTTCACAATCCGTAATCACTTACAACAATCATGTACTTTCACAGGTTGGAGGAAGTTTCACGGCTAAAGTTCTTCAACACATGAAAATGTTTGGTCGTGTTTCTGTTTGCGGTGGTATCTCAGTTTACAATGACGCAAAGCCAGCTCTCAGTAAGTATCCGCTTATCATATTTCTATCGTCATAACAGCACTCATAAATGTTTTCCATTATAATATTTCATTGTCAATAATATAATATAATATTGCTGAAGAATCGAAAGTTTAGTTCGTTCATGTGTAGACTATAGTTATTAACTGCATATTAACTAACAGGTTCAGTGCTGTCCGATATTATCTATTCTCTCTGCACACCTTGCTAACCGATATCTACCATATTTTATCATATATTTCATAGATTCCCAGCCATACAATATTACCTACATGCAGTAATTTAGTGTTTAATATTTTTCTTAAAATTTTGGTGTTACATTTCAACAGTATAGTCGACCGATTTGAGCTGATATAAAGAGAAACGTACCGCTATGTGCAACAAGTCTCCTATTTTCGTGTGTACATCCATAAGTTTATTCCGTCCACTCACAGCTCCAGATCCGTTCATGACGATCCTACACAAACAACTTAGAGTTGAAGGCTTCATGGTGTTGCGATGGGCGGCAAGATTTCCAGAAGGCAAAGCTCAAATGAAGAAATGGATAGAAGAGGTAACCGCTATCTAAATTCATAGAGACCCTTGAAGATCCTGGTTTGAATTGATCTTCAGTGCTTGTCGTAAGAGGCGACTAACGGGATCGGGTGGTCAGGCTCGCTGACTTGGTTGACACATGTCATCATATCCCAATTGCGTAGATAGATGTTCATTCTGTTGATCACTGGAGTGTCTGGTCCAGACTCGATTATTTACGAACCACTGCCATATAGCTGGAATATTGCTGAGAGCGGCGTAAAACTAAACTCACTCACTCACTAGATTCATAGTACCATTCAGAACGATAAGTGACTGTTGGGCATAAGTCACTCAAAACCAACATTCAATATTTTCCAAAGTATTCTATCGAAACAAATACGGTACATGACTAGCATGTTCGTGAAGCTACGTCCATTGTGAAGGCGTAGCTGAAGTGAAGTTTCTTCAACAAGAATTCCATTTATCGTTTAAGACCATATAACCATATGGCTCCCGCCTGACAGATAATCTGGTCTAATTTTTGGTCTATAGTTATGCAGATCTTTTCCTTGACTTCCCTTAAATATAATGTGAAGAATCAAACATATTGTTTGACCTCCTCTATATAGTTCGTTATATCGGGGGCGGTGGGGTAGCTTTGTGGTTAAAGCGTCCGCTCGCCACGCCGAAGGCCTGGGTCCGAGTCCTCACATGGGTACAATGTGTGAAACCCATTTCTGGTGTTCCCCGTCGTGATATTGCTGGAATATTGCTAACAGCGACGTGAAACCATACTCACTCATTCGCTCGTTATATCATTAAATTTTGTTACTTTAGTCTGTGGTTCGCAGTTCTGATCATGTTCAAAAAGTATTTTCTATTCCAGGGAAAGATCAAGTTCAGAGAGACGATCAATGAAGGTTTTAACAACATGGCCAAGACCTTCATGATGCTCTTGGAAGGCGCCAACACTGGGAAGATGCTGGTGAAGGTCTAGATCAGCTGTTTGATCACTGATCATTTCAGTCTGCATTAACTCGTATATAAACTACTGTTAATAAAGTGTACAACTTATGAATGCATTAAGTTTTTTGTGACATTGTAGCTAAGTGATTTGTAACTTTTTACTTAGGAAACATTTAAAAGGTAAAACAATTCATAACTCGTCACAATTTCATTTCACCCATTTGTCCAGAAGTGTTTTCAGTCCCATGATATCATGTTCATGCATACATCATAGAAGTACTTAATGTTTGTGAAAGATCAAATATTGTGATGTTGTAGCCGTGTTTTGTTAAGATCGGTAACTCAAGAAACATGAACAAAATCTGCAATCTACTAGTGGTGGTCCGATTAATTGAAATAATGGAAGATATTGTGTTATCTCCCTACTCCATTTTTGTACTTCATGCCACCATTTACCAGTTGAAAAAGGAAGATGGAAAGAAAATGTAAATTATGTTGTATGAATGATGTGGGTAATGAGTTTCATTATATTAAACTTTTAAATGTACAATGTATATAGTTTAGAAAACAAAGATCAATGTATATACCAGCTCCCTTTATAAAAAGACCAAATATGTTAACCGTTTTATAGGTACATGACAGTTTGTTAAAATGATATTGTTATTGATATTTGTTTCTGTTTGATAATTTTATTGATGTTATGCTTATTAAAGCAGTTTCAAGCCTATTGACGAATTTGTTGTAATATTTTAAGGAATACTTTGAGAACTATTTCTTCAAGGGTTGGGATACATGTGTAAAAAAATCGCCAAGTATACAAACATCGCTACAATACGGTCTTGAACAGAATGACATTACAACATTTTACAGGTATTAAAACACATCACTGTAAACAATGATCATGTAGAAGTGGGTAAAAAACGTATGTGTAAACATGAAAGTACGAAATTATAAGAATTGAATGTCACTTTGTGTGTTTGCACTGAAATATGAGCGTTGTTCCCACGAAAGTTTGAACAACGCTTTGACATTGTTCATTTTTCAGTGCAAACACACAAAGTGACATTCAATTCTTAACTCACTCAAAAACAACAACAAGAAATCGAAGTTTGCAATTGATAATATGTGAAGCAATTACATGGGCACGTGCTAAGTACAAACATTCGATTTTTAACAGGGCTGAGAGCTGATTGAACAGGTTATGGTCGACATGGGGTCAAACTAGAGAATTCACTATCAGTGGGTCCATTTGAGAAACACAGCAAAGCGTGAACAGAAGTCTCTAATAGCGAGTATGTCCACCTCTGGCTAGAATACATGCAAACACACGTCTTCTGACTGAAGTTGTGACGCGTCTGATGACGTCAGCTGGGATACGCCTACATTCTTTGATAAGGGCCTGCGTCATTTGCTGTACTGTAACTGGTGGATTCTGTCTCCGTCAAATAACTCTATCAAGGTGGTTCCATAAGTGCTCAATTGGCGACATGTCAGGAGAACGTGCAGGCCATGGCAGGACGTTGACGTTGTTGGCGTGAAAGAAGTTCTGGACGACTCGAGCGACGATGTCTGTCTGTCAGCAGCGTTCCGCGGTACGGTCGGTAGGCCCTGATACCATAGGCCCGTAGTCTCCATGTCACTGTCCTTCGACTCACTGGGTGACCGAGTGCTGTTGACGCTGATGACGTTACCGTCAGGAAGCGGTTTCTAAGGTGTAACGTCCTCAGGTGGCGGTCTTCCTGCGCAGTTGTCATCCGGGGTCTGCCCTGTCTGGGACCTGTCTGAGGTCTGACCAGTCTCTTGGTAACGCCGACGAAGGTTCCTGACGGTCACGACGGAGCAAAGTGGTTTTCTGCTGGAATACGATCAGCTCTGTACTGTGAGGTGGTTTTATACCATGCATGCACGTGCATTTTACCCTTACTTGTAAAACGCGTGCATTTTGCTGTTTTCGATGCAAAGTTGTCAAGAGGTGAGTTTGAGCGCTGCTGTTGGTCAGAATCGAACTCTTGTTGTTGGCAATAACAATGGGGCAATTTGCATTTGATTATATTTTCTTATGTTAATTTGCAACAGTATATTTGCCCATCAGTATATATTGAAATTTCATTTTTAATTTTTAAATTTCAGTCACTTTTGCTTACCAGACAGAAAACATTACAGTCAGTTATAACAACACACTCTCACACACTTGTCCCCTAGAAATCGGCACCCCACAGGGATGTACCAGTATGCTGCCCCCAAACACCATTATAAACTTAAAGACATTTTCCCCAATCCTACTCAAAATGTCACCACAGCCAAATTCGCAGAATAAATATATATGTAGTCGGGATTGTTGCATTGTATATGGTTGAAAATGGTTGCACATATCACGTGGTGTTGTGTTATCAAGAATGAGTGAGTGGCTATGATGTTACGCCGCTTTTAGCAATATTCCAGGAATATCACGGCGGGGAACACCAGAAATGTGGAGAATCGAATCCGTGTCTTCGGCGTGACGAGCTAACGCTTCAACCACTGCCGGCGGTCTGTAAATAATCGAGTCTGGACCAGACAATCCAGTGATCAACAGCATGGTCATCGATCTACACAATTGGGATACGATGACATGTGTCAACCAAGTCAGCGAGCCTGACCACCCGATCCCGTTAGTCGCCTCTTACTATATATACAAGCATGGGTTGCTGAAGATCAATTCTAACCCGGATCTTCACGGATCCATGGAGTCATCTTACAGATGACGTAATTGCTGAAAGGGATTTCAACTGCTTCTATCATAAGGCTGCTAACAGCTGGAAAATTGCTGATATAGTGGCATAAAATATTTTTTTATTCATTCATGACAAGGCAACTTGGGTCTGTGGCTAGAATACAAGCGCACGACCTGATCCCGTTAGTCACCTTTTACGGCGAGAATGGGTTGCTGAAGATCAATTGTAATTCGGATCTTCACGGGTAACTGAAGACAGTAAATCGAGAGCGGCATATGCCTGACGTTGAAGATCGTTCAATCATCTTCAACTACATAAACAACATAATGCTATGTAACGCATATTTTCAACTGCGATTCTGTGAGGGCGACAATCAAATGAGCTACCCATACAAGCAATTTGATTTCGTTTTACATTTAAAGAAAACACTTTTACATTTCGATATGACATAAATTTCTGTGAAGGTTCATTTTCATATGGGGCTGTGGGGTAGCCTAGTGGTTAAAGCGTTGGCTCGTCACGCCGAAGACCCGGGTTCGAATCCCCACAAGGGTACAATGTGTGAAGCCCATTTTCTGGTGTCCCCCGCCGTGATGTTGCTGGAATATTGCTAAAAGCGGCGTAAAGCCAAACTCAGTCAGTCAGTCATTTTGACATGATGTAAACAGCTGCGGTTTCTATGTATTTCCTGGGGGCGGTGGGGTAGCCTAATGGTTAAAGCGTTCGCTCGTCACACCAAAGACCCGGGTTCGAATCCCCACAAGGGTACAATGTGTGAAGCCATTTTCTGGTGTCCCCGCCATAATATTGCTGGAATATTGCTAAAAGGGGCGTATAACCACACTCACTCACTATATATTTCCTTGAACACGTAGCATTTCCGTGGTATTAGATAATGTGGCTTTTTAAAAACATTTTACATGATACTTAAGATCAGTTGTGTAACTGTAATATAAAACGGGCACAGTTAACAATCCCTGTGTATTATGATACTGGAAATGGGGGTTATATACATTTGCCCCCCAAGTGGTTACACACTAATAACAGACACCATTTCCAAATGAAAAACATTTGTCCAGTGACAGATTTAACAGTTTGACAAATACTAAACAACCACTTTCAACTATAGTCTGTTTGGCTCCAAATCAGACCGATGAAGTGCAATCTAACTCGAAAATTACTAAACATATAATTCTCAATGAAACACTGATCATAATCAAAACATCAGACCAACTCTGTGATTTTTTTTTGCAGAATTTATGTCCTAAAAATTAAAAAGTTGTTTAACAAACTATCATTAAAATTTTGACACAGTTCACTATTTGTTACGAGGGAGGGGTGCAAAGAGAGGAACAGCCAGGTGTACGCGGAGCACGTGCACAAGTGCTTTCTCCCTCGTAACAGTCGATTCCCCAAATGTGTACAATGTGTGAAGCACATTTGTGGTGTCCCTCGTCGTGATATTGCTGGAATATTGCTAAAACCGGCGTAAAACAAAACTCACTCACTCACTCTTAGCGAAAGAAACCTGTTGTTTCCAAGCCGCTCGACAGCTTGGCTTGGAACCCGACTGGAATACCGTAACGCTACAATACAGCCATTCAGTCAATTGCACTCATTGCTAAGTTAGGCTGAAGGGATCGTTGTCGGCACAGGTACTACAGATATGTAACCCAGGTACGTTTCTGTACCCGGCACCTTATAATTACACGGACGACGAGTCCATATTTCGCAACCCAAAACTGAAACTGTATGTAGTTGTTCCCGTTCAACTGATTGCAAATGGTATTGTGCTCCGCGAAATATTCGTTACTGTGTATGGTCGTTTCTTATAGAACGCAATCAAATGCATCTAATTCAACTGTATGACAGTTCCATTCAAGAAAACAACACACCGCGGAATGGAATCGTCCAAGGGTACGTTTCTGTATTCCGATTTTGGCTAGTGTACTTTTCTGAATACATACATATCTGAAAAGTAGAAGTGATGAAGTCACTTGTGAAACGAGGCTTTGGTGATGAATGGTCGAGGGTAGTTATCAGTGTACAATCCCGATAAATCACAGTGGATATATGACCATGCAGCGCAATGTGTGAGAGGAGAGCCTGTTAGGGGAGTCCCATTTGACAATTTCCTTCATTGTTTCTGTATTAATGGCAAAAATAGCCGTAAATATCGTGGTGATCTATTTTGAAAGTAACCCATTTATTCTTGGAACACTAACGTCCACCTGTCCACGATCCCCAAAATTCAACATCTGTGATCGTGTCCATTTTACGACTCGTTTAATAGTTTCATATCTAGCGGAAACCACCTTTTCTAAAAATAGCACACGCACCTGATCACGTGCCGCGATATTGTTCAAGATGGCGGCCACCTTCAATTTCAGTAAAGAAACGCCCCCGGATTCAATGTTCAGTGATATACAGACACTGAATAAATTCCAAGATGAAGTAAGTTAAGCTTTTGTTGCTTCTATAGATAGTGATTCGTTTGTGATATGTACCAATGCTTCCTTTGTTCACTCACTAGGAATGAAACAGCGTTTTGTCCAATGAATAATCTGTGATACAGAATTTGTCGGTTGAAATGCAGTCTAAGTAAACTTAGGCTCAGTATTATTCGTTACACTGCTATATTGAGTCTATGTTATCTCGTTTGCATCGTTAAATCGTGTTCGTTATTATTTTTCAGCAATTCAGTCAACTTGTGGAGTATGTGTTCCTGTTTCTCGTTGAACCCACAAAGGTAAAGTGGAAATCATTTGGACACAGTCGATGATCAAGCAACTAATGGACAATATAATCTATGTATCACTAGATGTATTTAGTAATCTGGTCAGATATAGTAATTTAAAGTAAGCAATTACTGGTCCATGTTCTTCCAAACCTTAATACATGTAGAACATGTACGTGTACATTGCAATACTAAAACATGACTGGGCAGTTGCTGAGAAAGGAGGACACTTTCTAGGTTTCTAGTTTAGTTGAAGCCTGAGCAATAATTTATTGATAATAGTACATACTATTATCTGTTTGTAAACCTAAATATGTTTAAGAAATCTTGTTTGAGAAATCAAGTGCATGAGAATGTTTATACAGTAAACAGATGTAAAAACACAAAGGGACCACTAATATTAGTTCATTATAGACGTAGTTTGTTGTAAGCCTTTCAACTAAAATATACTGCAAGTTGTCAAGACCTCAAACACCAGCTTGTTATATCCATCAGTTTGTTATAGGATTGTTTGTTTTTAAACGTAGTCTACTGTATCCTTAATTCTTGATTTATCTTCAGTAACCCATGCTTGTCGTAAGAAGCAACTAACGGAATCGGGTGGTCAAGTTCGCTAACTTGGTTGACACATGTCAACATATCCCAATTGGGTAGATCAATGTTCATGCTGGTGATCACTGGATTTTCTGGGCCAGACTCGATTATTTACAGAAATGGCTGAAATATTGCTGAAAGAAACCACCCGATCCCGTTAGTCGCCTTTCATGACAAGCATGGGTTGTTGAAGATCAATTCTAACCCGGATCTTCACGGGTTACACACCAGGTAAAAAACAGAATATATATGAGCTGTATAAATGTTTTGTGCATGTAACCATGGTAACTCTGTAAGGGTGTTTATGCAGTTATTCCCTTCCAGTCATCCCGTCTCTTGTCACAACTTGATGAGTTTGCAGAACAAAATGGTGTCGGAGCTGGTGCCCTGAAGAATGTTTTCAAAAGTCTCCTGTCATTGCCAAATAGTGAGTTATGTTCAAGAACATTACCATATGGCTTAGTTTCCTGTTCCTTTAGTTGCAACAAAACATGATGTGATGTTTCATCATTATAGCCAGACAAAGTCAGTTTCCAAAAGGGGCTGTGGGGTAGTCCAGTGGTTAAAGCATTCACTTATCATGCTGAAGACCTGGGTTCAATTCCCCACATGGATAAGGCGCAGTGGGCTAGCCTAGTGGGCTAGCCTAGTGGTTAAAGCATTCTCTGGTCACGCCGAAGACCTAGGTCTGATTCCCTACTTAGGTACATTGTGTGAAGCCCATTTCCGGTGTCTCAGGCTGTGATATTGCTGGAATATTGCTAAAAGCGGCGTAAAACTAAACTCACTCACTCTTGATCAGTTTCCAAAAACATATGAGATAATACTTCTCAGCAGCCTGTGTAAGTGTTTACCTATAAAGTTTGCTCATCAGTGAAGATTAAATATGTTTGAAATCGACTGTATAAGAAATTGATCACAATTAACCATTTGTCAAATAACAGAAGAGTAACTACTATAACCTCAAAATGTGTTTCTTGTTCAGTATCAAAAGTCTGCATGCTACCTAATGAAAATATGAAATTAGTCAGTGATTACCTCCCTTTGTACAGGTGCCCTGAAGAAGAGTTTGAGTCCAGCCCAAGTCAAAGAAGATCTTGTTAACTTAGGTATGTCACGTCTGTGAAGATCCAGGATACAGATGGTCCTTACTAGCCCTTGCTTGTCGTAAGAGGTGATCGGGTGGTCACACTTGCTTGCTTGATTGATAAATGTCATAGTTTTCCAATTGAATAGATTGGTACTCTTGATGTCAGAATTGATTATATAATGTGAGTATTACTGAGTATTGCATTAAGGTGAGGTGAAATTGTCTTTAACGTCGTGCTTGAGAATATTTCGCTCATATGACGACGTGCATGCGTGTGTATGTGTATGTGCGGCTGCTTGTACTAGCCCAGACTGAAGCTGGTTTTATAGTGCTAGCCCACTGAGATACCATGCCGCAGTGAAGCATGAATACCCCACTCAGACACATTATACTGACTCCGAGCCGACCAGTCCTTGTTGTACCCATTAATGCCGAGCGCCAGGCAGGGACAAACAAGTACCATATTTTAACGTCTTTTGGTGTGACGCGGTCGGGGATCGAACCCGCGACCTTCCGGCTCTCGGGCGGATGCTCTAACTTTCCACTAAACCACGGAGGCGGTCGAGCATTGCATTTAACGACAACTAAGCAGCCAAATGTAGGTATATCATGTTTCTACCTGTTGATGTTGGAGGAAGTGGCATTGTCCCTTTGATCTTGTCATTGTTGACCTTTTCTTTATGCGGACAATTATCCAACATTAAGTTTGAAGTTCTGTCAGAATACAGTAACTGGACCTATGAATACAAAACAGTTTTAAGTGATTTGTTAGCCCATGCATATTCAGAATAAGTTTATTTGTAAGTCAATATGCATATCTCCTCATGCAACAGTGATGTCTTGGGGAATATTTAAAAATGATAATTGGTTCCAGGAAGACTGGAAAATAATTTTGCATCTGATTTTACACAGCTTTAAACAAAGCTTGTTTGCTGGACCTCCTGAGTTCCTTGGAAAAAAATGTATTTGAATCGTCAGCAATTAAAAAATTGTATGTCATGAAAGAAGTAGTTGAAAAACGTATAGTGTCTTAAACAAATATCCTGTGTCCCTGTAAAATACTTCTTTAAAAGATGGTCTGTGACTGTGTATATGTGAAGGAGCTAGGAGTCATCCTACACATGACGTAATTGTCGAAGGGATTTCAACTACTTTTATCTTAAGGCACTGTGAACAGCTGGAAAATTGCTGATATGGTGGCATAAAATATTTTGTTCATTCACTCATGACAAGGCAACTTGTTTCCACGGTTAGAATACCAGTGCAGCACTCAGAACCTTTGTCCTGGTGTAGTTCTAACAATGGAGCTGACCACGTTCTTGTTAAACAAACAACATATGTCTCTGTACTGGATGTGCTTTGATGGAGAGTGCGAAGCAGGATGTTGATTTATCCAACACACACACAACAAACACACACACACACACACACACACACACACACACACACACACACACACACACACACACACACACACACACACACACACACACTTTGTTTTCCCTCGATCACTGGATGTCAATCCCAACGGCACGTCGTAATATCAATCTCAACTCCCTGGGGAGCATACAACTCTTGCAGCCACTAGGCGCACCGAGTTAGTGTGGCTATCCCATCCTTACGAGGTACCCTTTCACAGCTGGGTGGACTGGGACACATAGTCACAGTACTTTGTCCAAGCAGATTAGCTTCTGATTTGTAGGTCTTTGGTCCTAAGCAGTTCATTTTATTGTAGGCAGCTTATTAGTATATATAAGGAGGCAAGGGCATGCCTCGGTCATCCCACATTACATCAAGACTAGCAGTTGTGTGAAGATCACTTTTCTAGCCTGGATTTCCACCCTAATTCTATTTTGCAAGCATAACCACTGTCCTTGTTGACATATAGGACTTACTCCCAAAATGTTTTAGATGATGATGGATGATCAGGACTTTCAAACACAGGTGGTCTGTTAATTCTTGTATATATAATATGTGTATTTGTTTCCCAGGTTTATCAGAGGAGAAGGCCGACTTTTTCACAGAACAGTACAAGAACAATCTGGTGTCCCTGTCTCACAGCGCCCTGGGTCAGACTCTCATGGTCAACCAGCTGGTGGACATGGAGTGGAAGTTTGGAGGTAGGGGTTCTAAATATGCTCACCATGTTACATTAGGTAACCCTCAAGCACCCTGACTAATTTTATAGTGAGTGCCACAACAACGTATGGTATGGATTTACAACTTCTTTAATATTTACAACACTGACATGAATGAACTATATAGTGAGTGAGTGAGTGAATGAACTATATAGTGAGTGAGTGAGTGAATGAACTATATAGTGAGAGTGAGTGAGTGAGTGAGTATGGGTTTACACCACTTTTAGCAATATTCCAGCAATATCACGATGGGGACACCAGAAATGGGCTTCACACAGTGTGCCCATGTGGGGAATCGAACACAGGTCTTCGGCATGACAAACAAAGGCTTTAACTACTAGGCTAAACCCCCACACCTGGTTTATTATATAACATAAGACCCCAGTAATCATGTCTTTCTGGTAAATTGAATGGTGATCAGGTTTTTGACTTGATTTGAATCTGTTTTTATTAAATGTTTGTCATAATATCAACCACTGGTTGGCTGCCCTAGACTTGGTTATTAACAAGCCTTTGTGACACAGTTGGAATATTGCTGACTTTAGCATCTTCAGAGAAGTACTTGATAAATGTGTTAAATTGGTAAGAAGAAAGGTGACAGTGATAGGTTGCCTGTCCTTACAGGAACTAGACACAAGTACAGTGGAAGCCCTCTAAACCGGCATTCATTGGGACCGGCCAAAAATGCCGGTATAGAGGGCATGCTGGTTTAGTGAACTTTTCCCATCCACTCGCCTGACTGGTCTAGCCATATTGACACGTTGAGCAACTGACAAATTGTGACACGACAATTAATTTATAATACAAGTGACACATGTCACTCACCAATTTACCTCACCTACCTATAGGCCTAATCCTTATCCATACTCCTTTATCAGGCAACATCAATGAGCTTAATGCCGATGGTAGTACACTGAGTTGTTAATACACGTTCAGCCAATCAGCCAATCAACAGGAGAGCCGAGATACGGGATGCCGGTTTAGAGAGCGTTGTTTACTGTACAAACAGTCATTCGGGTGGTCTTTGTTGTGCCGAAATATGGAATAGACTGACGCCGGATTAAAGGCGTGTAAATGATCATAAACTAACTAGCTTCTGTCGGGACCAAATTCTAGTGCCGATATTGAGAGTGTGATGGATTGGAGGGCTGCCGGTTTAGAGGGCTTCCACTGTATAGCAGTGTTATTTGTGTTGTAAAACAAAGTCCTATTCAGATTACTAACTAAAGTAATGTCCACCCAATACACAAAGACACAGATACTTTATTGTCGTATTTTATTTTGTTTACAAGTTTAGGAGTCATGCAAGGTTGACTTTATATGATCATGTGCATTCAAAATTACGTCCTCAAGTAGAAAGTGTACACCATAATGTCTTTTTCTGCGTTTGACTACCAACAATCTTAATCAGTTACGACATAAACATGACTAATCAAACAATTGAGGGATGAACTATGATTGAAAACTAGTGGAATGCTTCCTTTCAATATTCAGACAATTGGAGGCTTTTGTCTTGAAAAGATGGGACCACTTTTTAATCAATATTCATCTGCCTTTGTTTTGACTGTCTATTATTTTCCCCCTTCTTATAAGAGTCCATCTAATTTTGGCAAGTGTCAGGATAATCTTGAGTACATTTAACTGTTGTTCACCTTCACAGTGACGGCATCAAGCAGCGAGCTGGACAAAGTCGGAAACACCTTCCTCCAGGTGAGTAATAACATCAGCTGTTTGTATACATGAATAATAGTTACAGTAATTATTGGTGAGTGAGTTGGCTTTAAATGTGTCTTGGAACTGAACCTTATTATCTACTGTGAACCTGTTGAGATCTGGGTCAAATTTGTCTTCAGCAACCCATGCTTGTCATAAAAGGCAACTAAAGGGATTGGGTTGTCAGGCTGGTTTGGTTGACACATGTCATCGTATCCCTATTGTGTAGATCAATGCATATAATGTTAATCACTGGATTGTCTGGTCCAGACTCGATTATTTACAGACTGCTGCCATATAGCTGGAATATTGTTAAACAGCAACCAAACATATCTACTGTGATGTATATGGTTGGGTTAAGGAAGTAAGTTGTAAAACTTAAATCTCTGTTATGACATTCTCCCTGTCATACACAATAATGTGCATGTCACTACACTTGGAGTAGAAGACAAAACTTCCAGATTCTTGTAATGGCCACTTGCACACTGATGGCATAATGATACCACAAGCTTGATACCAGGCCAAGGGAGACAACTCAGGGAATTGTTTCACATTTGATGATTGGTCAACCCAGAGACCATATAATAGATCTATCATATGGTCTCTGGTCAACCACATGACCCTAGGTTAAGAAGTTATTCATGTGTGTAGTCATCATGTTTGTGACATGGATGATAGGGAATTTAGACAGCAAATTTTCATTTTCAGTTAAGGCCAGACCAATTATATTTCTTGTTTGATGGATTTTTGTCCTCAGAAAACCTAAGGCAGGAGGGAAAAATAAAATCACCAGTCAAAGTAATATTCGTTCTAAATACTCAAAGTATTTTACTTTTACAATTACAATTTATGAAGTGTATATGGGGCAAAAAACAATCTTACAAAAAAAACTTTTTTTTTAAGTTTACATTTTGGGCCAATAAAAACATTAGGATACTATTTTTTGAGCGGGGAAAATTTATTTTTATTTTTTTCTTATTCTTGAAAAAATATGACAGGCGGATCTGTAAAACAAGAAATAAAATTGGTCTGGCCTAATGAAATTTCTGTAATAAATCTGTTTCAGCTGAAACTAGTTATCAACACTGGAAATGGATCCAAGAACACATATATGGGTAAGTGGTAGTCAGGAACATGCCTGTGTAATGACTTCTTTGAGAGAAGCTGGGCAGTGGGATACTGACTGGACAACAACTTCTTTTATTTTGTGAGGGTGATGGTTTGGTACAGATTCTTCTACCGTCTAGCAGTTGTACAAATCTGTTGTACATCTCTGGCTTCATCTCGTATCCCTTTGTTAATTCACTGGCTTTAATCAACTTACTGCCTGTCCTGTTATGTTATTTATGTTGTTTTCTTTGTATATATATATACCCCTTCATCGTCATGTGACATTCATGCTGGAATCTGTACCGAAATGTTACCCTAACAAAATTAAAGAGGTTGTTATCCATAATTTGTCAGTATTGCCTGTGTAAATATATTCCATCTGTGACTGTCAAATATGTTAGACTGTGTTTGTTACTTTGGTCAGTAGTGATCACTAGGGCTGCAATGAATGCACAATGTGGCGAATACAATATGTTTTACAAATACATAGTAACGAATACGAATAATTATTCATGAATACTTTATATTTTATATCAAGAAATTATAATAACAATTAAACTATCCACAAAGCCTTCATAGCACCATACCGTACATAAGCCTATATGATATACTAGAGTTATGATGGATTAATGCTGTCAAAACTCCGTGGATCTGTGCCCCATTCCACAAAGTGATCGTAGCCCGAAGATGATCGTAACTCCCTTACTTTAACATAGACCTATGACTGTTGTAGCGCTACGGTCTCGCTTTGAGGACAGTAGAACAGGGCCCAGGACAGTAGAAGGTATCAACTTTCAATACAAAGAAAACTCATAGTAATGACCATGTTCTACATTTTCAGAGCTATCATTACCACAGTTCTACTCATTCCTGCATGAAATGGAGAAAGCTAAAGCGAGTCTAGAATACCTGAGCTAGTCATGTGGACATATGCAGTTATCTCCCTTGGTTGACCCAGCTTGTGTTGATCTTCAGCATGGAGGATTCTCTCGGTGTGGAATTTGATTACACCAGATCTTTGAGAGATTAAGCAAATAAGCCAACTATGTGTTGAAGAGACGTTACTGACAAAAAGTTGTCATGATGTACTTCCTTGAAGAGCAGAGGGCAGAATCCGGTAAAAGATGTCTGTGTACTGGAGAAATAAACAAGGGTTTTAAAAATATATTCTTCATGATAATGTGATTATCACAGCAATCAGAGTATGTAGTAGATTCAGATAGTGGACTAAGGAGTGTTAATTCTAAATGTCATGTAGAAATAATTTTGTTTGATTTGAAAGAATGGAATTTTAAAAAGGGATACTACATGCATGTGTGATTCTGGTGTAATTCCTGAACAAGCTTGATGGGATATCCAGTAAAACGTCATGTCTGTGGTACATTATGATATGCTTCTGAACAAAAAGGGCCTGAAACACTAAACATAATTTATGTGTAAACAGAACCAGGTTCTTGATGAGGCCATGTGAAGATTTCAACAAATCTAAGACAGGCTTTAAATATTTGTTCTGGTTCAAGGTTTGATGTTAAGATGATAAAAACCAGGGATTAACTTTGCTTCATAGACTTTGTTATTGTAAAAATAGCTATGTATTATGTATAATATCTACATTGGTGTATAAAATAAACTGGAAAATTAAAGCACAGTGTCAGTTTTTATTCTTAAGAAACATTTCAAGAAAGCCACAAAATTATCATGAATCATGTTATTTTCTGGGTGCCATTGTACCAAAGCGTTCTTAGCGCTAAGGTGATGGTAACACCCATACCTTAACACAGACTTAAGGTTGTCTTAGCGTTAAGGTTGTTTTGTGCAACTGCACATTGGACACTAGTATTCCAGCTGTGATGTTGGCCTATTAATAATCCAGTCTGGGCCAGACAATCCAATGACTGATATTGTCATCAGGGAGGAAGACACCTAGCCTGACCACCTGATCCATTTTGGCGCCACCTATGATCAGCATAGGTTCCTGGGGTCCATCTCGAGCCTTCAATACCCACGTGGGATGTAACATAGCAACAACCAGTTTCTATATCCTGTCAATGTAATTCATGTCATCAGTTTTTAAAAAAAAGCCGGAACACAAGTTAGTCATAGAAACTATCTTTATTCCTCAATAGTAAAGTAAATCCCTCCTTACAATGATAAATATCACAGCCCTAAGAATTTGTAAAATTCCTGAATCTACAGAAATACACACTTCATAACAAACAAAACAACTAACAAATATACAAAACACTGCTTAAAACAGACCATAGAAAACCTAACTGAGTATTAACTATGTGATCCTATGACACAACCATAAGCAGGACATGTTCAACTAAACCAAGCAACTGGTCATTTATCATGGGGGTGAGTTGGCCACCAAACATCATTGTTTCTAGGGGAGGATCGTGGACATGGTCAGGTAAAATGGACATTTTTTAACTGAATAAAACATTGCTTTTGCAATTTGTTTGTTCAGGGTGGGTCATTGTAAATAATACACATTTTGGGTTGGTTGGTTGGTTGGTTTGATGTTTAACGCCACACTCAGCAATATTCCAGTTGTATGCAGCGGTCTGTAAATAATCAACAGCATGAGCATCAATCTACGCAATTGGGGTATGATGACATGTGTCAACCAAGTCAGCGAGGCTGACCACCTGATCCCGTTGGTCACCTCTTACGATAAGCATGGGTTACTGAAGACCAATTCTAACCCGGATCTTCACGAGTCACACATTTTGGGAGGTTCATGTTAAAATGGCCATTTTTTAATTGAAAAGAACATATTTCATTTTTTTCTGTTCAAGGTGGTTAATGGAAAAAAATGCACAATTACATGGGGTTAGGTGTGGAAGGGTGGTGGGGGTCATCTGGAAATATGACAAACTTTAGGTGAGGGTCATTATTTTCCATACATTGGTGCAAAAAAACCTTCTCCCTATTCCCATGTGGAACATATGAACATTCCTCACTCCTGAAACTCCATACCTGGGTTATTCTGTACAAAGCAATCTTAGCTAAGGTGAGTAACTCCCATACCTAAGAATTAAGGTAGTCTTAACTTTGATCGCAGCCAATGTGTTAAGAAAGGTAGCTTTAAGAAGTTTGTAGAAAGGCTTAGTTCGTGACGGCTGTTTGTTTTGAGAATAGCTAGCCTGTTCTAGTATATGATTGGCAGAATGTTTAAATAACCGAATGGACCTGCAATATGTCAGGGCAACACAGCTCAACGTGGTTAAAGACCTGTTACAATTCTTTCACATCATGACAGTTGATAACATCTCATACTACAAGCAACACACTTCACGCATACTACTTTCAAACTACATCTTTGGGATATAGCAGTGGCACGTTTGACAGCCTGTTTGTTGATGATGTAATCACAGTCTAATCATGGGACGGATCAGTGATTAGTGAGAGAGTTTGGTGTAGGCTGTTGATATATTGTATCCTGAGCATTGTATCGCAATGCATTACTGTATAACCATATCTTTACACCTCTAGAAGGCATGGACGGGCAGCATATCACAATTTTAATAAATATTCTAAGATGCTTGATTGGGGAAAGTTGTAATCGACAGTACTTTGTTCTGACAATATTGTGCACTTTTTGCATCATCACAATGTATTGTTCATTATGTATGGCCCTCATAATCAAAACTTATGCTTACGCCAAATATCATAGGAAGGCGTGTGTAATCAGTTGTCACATGCCTCATTGCAGCCTCCTACACTTAAACTATCCATTGCATCCCATTCACATTGTACACACTTCCCCATGAAAATCATCATCACCCCCTAGCCATTAATTATGAACAGTCCCTAAAAGAATTGGCCCCCCCATTCCACAAAGTGATCATCGCGCCAAGATCACTGTAACACATATTATAACAAAATATGTGAGTTCAGTTTTATGCCACTTTTAGCAATATTCCAGCAACAACCCAATGGGGACCCCAGAAATGGGCTTCACACATTGTACCCATAAGGGAAATCAAACGTGGGTCTTCGTCGTGACGAGAAAACGCTTTAACCATTAGGCTACCCCTCCGCCCCACTATAACAAAGACTGACATGGAACTACAATCACTTTGTGGAACAGAGGTCTGGTGAGGGTATTCATGGGATTAAGTGGACATCTATTTCTGCATCCTGCTATTTAAAGCATAATGAGTTCACAAACATACAAGGTAGCAGCATTTAGAAGGCTGGTGAACTTTCTCAATTCACTTGGAGAAAACTTTACCTTAATGAAAGTCGTGTGAGAAACATTTACAAAATGTACATTTAAAGGAGCATATATTGAATCTGAACGAATGTAAATTGACAATTAATATTGTTCAATCTATTTTAACATCTGTTTACACTAAAGCTCTTGTAAACAAGACTCACAATATCTAATCTATTTCATCAATAAAATATTACTGGATGTTAGTTCTGCTTAATCTAATTTTAAACAAGCAAGCAACTGTTAAACATCTAAGATTTTTCTTTCTATGTCTGTTTTCACTTTCTGTTAAATCAATAAAAAAATATAACACATAAGGAAAGACGACCATGTCAACATAAAAGTCAGCGCTACATTCACAGTAAGTGTTTGTCAGCATGATAACCTTGGAATGCTCATGAAACACAGTCAACATGCTTTTCTATCATAATCATAAGTATGGTGTTATTATGAATGATTGTGGGGCAATACAACACAGTTGTCTATCTCTCCACACACCCTGTTTAAAAATAAACAAAACGACATACTCCAGTGACAAAAAATCTATTTTACAAAAATAACTTCTTGTAAATGAAATACTGGTGCATATTGTCAACATGACTCCTTAAAGAACCACTAAACTTTGTTTTTGTTACTCTTTTAACCATTACATATGAAAGATTTGTGGTTAGTCTTATGTGGAACACCAAATTTATTCTTTAAAAACTTGTGGTTAATTAATACCCGGCGATTAAAAGTGGCCAAAAAGTCGCCTGCTTCCCTCGCCGCCAACTGAAACCACAGACAGGTTACGTAACTCTGTCGCCAGAGCACTTCAGTGGCGTCATATGAGGAGCGATTTTCAGTTAGTTGTATAGAAAGTGTGTAGCACGCTCATCATTTTGATGATTTTCGACATGAGCGACGACATGCCGAATCGTTGCTTAGTCGTCAATTGCTCCTAGGGTCGGGTGATGGTGTCACCATGCACAGATTTCCACAGGACCCGCGCAGTTCGAGCTAAATGGGTTATGTTTGTGAGAGCGGCGGCGTTGTGGAAGCCTGAAACGATATCTTACTTGTGTTGAGATCGCTTCCGCGGAAGTTAAAGAATCAAAACTACTTACTAGTTATAGTAAAATATGTATATGATTGATGACCATAAAGATTTTCCATAACACAACTTGTAACATAACGATTTCTTCCTCGGAAGTGAGGTTGTGGTCGAAGTAACAATAATATTGTAAGTAGTATTATATTGACACCCACCCTCGCTGCCAGGAGAGAAATTGTTATGTTATACGCTATGTCATGCAAAATCCTATTGGCCATCAATAAAATACATATTTTACTACCAGTAGAAAGTAGTTTTGATTTGTAACTTTCGGTGAAAACAAACCTAAATAGCATTTATTCACAGACTGGCGGATGTTCCCGACAGGGTACGCCATTTTGAAAATCGTAAAGTCTGTTAGAATTAATGAGATTATAGTTTGTTTTCATCAAGTTAGAAAATCAAAACTACTTTCTACTCGTAGTTAAATATGTATTGGAATCATAACCAAAAGGATTTTGCATGACACAACTTATAACATAACGATTTCTTCCACGAGAAGCCGAGGTGGGGGTCGAAGTCACAATACTGCGCGATAAATTTCTTGCTACATTCACATGGTTAATGTCCACTCACCAGTATGTAGATACTAGTCAATGTGCGTCTTTATATTTGGTCTTATAATCCTAATTAGTTTATTATCATACTTTTATGCATTTTGAAACTAAATAAAAAGCTGGACGATCTGCTGATACTTATAGTGAATTTAAAACAGAACTGTAATATCTAGACATTTTATAGTTTGCCAATGTAAATCATAATTCGCACACACCCCCTAGTGTATGTTGTCTGTCTCATTACACTTCACGGCGAAAACAATGATTCTGTTGAATGCTACGACAAATGAATAAAAACAAAATGCAAATATTAAAATTAAAACAGATTAAAGTTATAGGAACAATATCAGGCCATTACCTTGTTTGAGGAATGTATCCATCAATATCCACAAAACTGTTCCAAATGATGTGTCTTTTAACAGTTTAATATACGAAAAAGTGATAAATCTTTTCAGGTATTGGTGTATAGTCTCATTGGTCACCCAAGATAGCACACCTGGCAACTAATTGCATAATGTCCGCCTTTCATTAAAAACAGTAATTTAGTTAGCCAATAATGGGCAATCAATCAATGTATTGCCGGTTAGCAGAGTGTATTCAGTATAGATTAGTAAATCTACATACATAAACACTACCTTTTGACAATTCCGCTGTGTAAGATAAAAGTAATTAATCAATCAGCGTGTTATCGGTTAATCCTTTGATCGATGTTTATAATGTTGAATATTTACTCCAGACACAAGAAATGCCAAATGGGAACCTTTGTCGGGTAATCTAAGTGTGTTACCACTAATTATACCTGTTATAAATTCATTAACTGACCATCAAGTGAATGATGACAAATAACATGTGTAGGTTTATACCACCTAACACGGGTTACAACAAGGGAGTATTAATTGCTGTATTGCATGTGAAAACTTATGGGCCGACACTGTTTTGAGAATACAAACAGATTTTTACATGACATGATTAAATATCGAGGTAAAAAAAACACAGAAATGGGATCAATTTGGATCAGTCATTATACAAATAGGGCCTAACGACACCAATCAATTGTGACAGAAGCGTCTATGAAAACAAGTTGTAACTCGGAAACTAGGCAAAGCAGGAGACAAAATTAAATGACAGTAGATTGTGAGAACATATAGCTTTCATTTTCCACAACAATTGTCACGATTTCAGGTTTATACAAGCCTGTAAACAAGATAATTTACCCCCTAAAATGTAGATGAATTCTGCATCGGCCCTCAAAGCTATTCCTCATATGACGTCACAGAGTCGCTACCAGCTCTGATTGGTTGAAATTTCGTTGTGGTGAGAATTGTGCACTGTTGTCAAAAAAAGGTCGATTTAAGTCAATTAAAGGTCGAAATGAGTAGTTTTAATGACGGGGTTTCATTTATAACGATGCCAGTTAGTGATTTATGTATTTTTACCCCCTAGGGTTTATGTGATCTTTAAACCTGAAGGTAATTGATTAATAATGTGACTTCTGAAAATTCCTGGATCTGCTTCTGAAATATACCATTAAAAAAAAGTAGGGGATATTCCATTTTGCGAGCATACCACTAGCCAATGCATATGAGAAAAGTAATTTATATCCATACAGATGAGACATTTCCAAAGGAATGGAATAAATTGTCACATTTTGACTTAATTTCTCTTTCCTCCTTGGCTTCATTTTATCAATCTTGTAAATCCAATATCCGCTACTTTTCTTTGGATGGTATATATTTTAATGATGAGTTTAAAGATGTATGCCATTTATCTTCCACATAATGCCAAATAATCTGGTATATCACCTTTAGCTTGATCTGGATACGAAAGACAAAGTGACCCACTGGTTTACAGGACTATGGGACTGGACAAACCACATATGAGTCTATTTTTCACAGACATGTAAGCTTGCTTGTTTAATGACAAGGTGTCTGTAATATACATGTATGTATCACAGGTAGTGTCCATCTATCATGGTGTCATGTATTATACCAATATTGTTACAAACTAGAACTGATCAGCCCATGTAAGAGCTTCTATGGGGCAAAGGGACAGAACTCTGCTGTCTGTACATCACATGTGAGGCAAGGGGAATGTACTTTATTGTCAATGCATCTGAGGGTCAAAGGGACAGAACTCTGCTGTCTGTACATCACATGTGAGGCAAGGGGAATGTACTCTGTTGTTAATGCATGTGAGGGTCAAAGGGACAGAACTCTGCTGTCTGTATATCACATGTGAGGCAAGGGGAATGTACTCTATTGTTAATGCCCCTGAGGGGCAAAGGGACTGAACTCTGTTGTCTGTACATAACATGTGAGGCAAGGGGACTGTACTCTGTCGTCAGTGCATCTGAGGGGCAAAGGGACTGTACTCTATGCCATAGGTAGGTTTGCGCTGACGGATGATGGTTCCATCAAATGTGTTGAGAGTCTTCATGCCAATGTTTGGGAAGCGTTCAAACAGAAGCTGCTCCTCCATGGGGGACGGTACTGGAAGCTGGTTCTGATCTTTCGGCCGAGACACCAGGATGTAGCGACTGTCATAAAGTTTAGATGATCAATTGTTCAGTAGAGTATATAATAATCCTTAAAAATATTCATCCTTCAAATACAAAATGGAAATAATATATGTGCTCTCCCATAAGGTTACAGTAAGTGCTTTAAAGTCTAAGTTATAGGTAGATACAAAGTTAACAATAGATGGATTATACTTTGGTCTTTCTATTTGCTGTCACATGAAGCTGACTCACTCACACATGAAGCTCACTCACTCACACTCATCCTATGAGCATGCTGTCGGTGTGGATTTAGTGCAATATAAATGGACTAATTATTATTATCCTCTTTTACCCATTCACTACAACTCACACCCGTTATTTTCCTCCCTTCTCCAGCACTATCTCACTCACTCCAGCATGGACTGACCTGCACTTGCTGGGTATTGACCGACTGGACTTGGGTCTGATGGCGTGGGGGTTTCGTGGGTCCAGCATTTGAGGGTCAATCTTCTTCTGGCTTTCTGGAGTTCCCTTCCTCTCTGACCAGGCTCTGGCCCGTGCAGGCCGTGGCACAGGGCTCGTAGGTAACCTAACAACATGCACACCAGCCACAGTTAGTTTCATGTTTCAATTCGGAACAATTTGGTTTCAAATATTATATATAAATTTTCAACATTATATTTTTAGATAAAAATCATGGCGTCAAACAGGTCAGCAAGCCTGACCACCCGATCCCATTAGTCGCCTCTTGGGACCAGCATGGGTTACTGAAGACTGATTCCGACCAGATTAAAAATCAACAAAACATTTTAACTAATGATTTCTGAAGAAGATACAGAGACAGGCAGAATGTAAAGATTAAGAAAACAAACAAAGACACTAAATACATGAAGTATCATCTGAAATATACTAATCATATACAGTGTCATCAGACAGCATTTCACCCTCCTTGATTCAACAACCTTGACCTTCACCTGAAGGGAGTTTCAGCTGCACGTTCATTCCGGTCAGTCTGCTTCTGCTGGTGGTGTTTCAAGGCACCGAAGTGTGCAGTCTGGGGGCCGGGGCGCTGAGGGCCGAGGGAGGAGGAGGCTGCAGTGGTTGACCGTAGTGGCATGGTGGTGTTGGCTCTCTCCAGCTGCTGGACGGCATATGCTGAAGACCCAGGACGAGGGTGCGCTGCCTGTGTACAGGACAGGCAATATGGAAGTATTACATACAAACTCTTTACGAAACTATATTTTTATTCATGTAGTCCTGTCATCCATAGCTTCTGCTAAAGAAATCCCGAAGCTACATTGAATAAATCTGAGTTATTTTTTAAAAAATCAGTCGCACTAACCAAATAGGGACCGTAAGTAGGTCATGGCACTTAGCGTGATCTTAGTACTTCCGGTTACAAACAACGTTTCATACTTTTTCGAATGGTCTCATGGCAGTCAGTTGACAATAAGGAACGGATAATCCTTCCAGGAATAACAAATTTCCGATCCAACCATCAACAAATTAGCCAACTATTACGATGGTCAACAGCTGTGACAGCCAAGCATGGTTGTACACCATGTCTAGTAAAGTCATACTTGACGGTCGCACAATTGGAACCAGAACTGGTTCTTGAATATACGCTTGTCACCAGAAATCTGGTACCGGAAGTAAGCTGGGTCCCATCTCACATGTCGCAAGTTGGCGCACGCAAAGGGAGCCGGGAAACCAGCTTAGTACCAGAAGTAGCACCTAAGGAGACTTACAGGCCCTATTCAGACACAGACATTCTATCCTGTACATGCCCATGAGTATCAATATAACTAATATATTAAGTCATAACTGACAAGTGGTAGATTGTAGAAAACAGTGAACTGAGGTGACAGAAAGCAAAACCTGACTATTTTCTTGTGGATGGACTGACACTAATTCAGTGTCAAACAGTTATTGATAAAATATACCGTCAGATAAATATGTGCAAAAGGAAATAACTATTCAGTTGCATATGTTTCTTCTAATATACGCTGATAGTGCTTAACATTTGATATTTCTTAACAGTAACTTACACTTGTACATTACATTAAAAATCTTCAGCCTATCAAATGTCACCTGTCTAAATGATTTGGGTCAGTAACAACACTATACATAGAAATGTCAGCAATATGGTTATAGTGTAGCCTTATTTTTTGCATTCAGAACTCTCCAATTACATTCAATTTCCAGCAGGCGATCTCATTCTAATGAGACTGTCTGTTTTAGTTAGGTATATACCCAGTACTATTCAACTCGACTGAGGTGTGCGTAACAGTCAGCAATCTGACCATGGTGGCAGTGTGGTAGCTTTGTGGTTAAAGTGTTCGCTCGTCATGCCGAAGACCCGAGTTCGCTTTCCCAACATGGGTACAATATGTGAAGCCCATTCTGGTGTCCCTCACCGTGATATTGCTGGCATATTGCTAAAGGCGGCATAAAACTGAACTCACTCACTCAATCTGACCAGTGTTCCTATGTCCGGACATTACCTGTGTTGTGTCCACAGTCAGAGTGACCGAACAACGATGTCTGCCTCTCTCGCTGTCTCTGTTCCAGCAACTGACGTTTCTGTGCTGCGTTATAATGTCGCAGCTCCTTCTGAATGCGCAGCAGCATGTGCCTGCAGGGGAGATAACCCAGACATGAGTGCGTTGGGAGATGCAGCATTATAACACGATAGAACAAGGTTCAGTGTGAATCAAATAACTGTTGACTCAAAATTCAACTAAAAACTTAAAGGGAGTCTGTGATCCACGATCTCCTTAACTATATTGTTTTGACGTATTTAAAGACTCACGTGAAAGGTCATCCTGGAAATGTCATGACCTCAAATGAAATCTGTGTCAAATCTAACACATTCAAAACCTGGGGCTGCCCAAATTTCAGTTTAGTGTTGTATGCTGTGGATGACCACCTTAGAATTTAATTTTTATAGGACAAGTGGAAACCTTATTTCAATAGTCATAAGAGTGTGGCTAGTAAACATTTTCTGTCAGTTTTATTCCATTTCAATTAGTCGCAAAATTGAAGTATTTGAGAAGGGGTACGGAACTATATCCCTGAATTGGTCAAGTCTATTAGGACTAGCATTGTTTGAATTTCACTTGTAAGACTAAGTTTTCCTGGGATAGTGGACTTGCATGAATTTCAGAGGCTAGATGAGATACATGTGTAATGTAGTAAACAGAGTCTCAAGTGAATTACCTCTCAATAGCTCTGTCCTGCCAGTTCTCGTCAAAACTCACGCCATCATTCCTGTACAGCTTGGCTGGAGACAGGGGACTTCTGTAACCATGTTTCAGTAAATATATTTCATTTATGTTGCCAATTTAAAGCTATGAGTTGGCAACTTGTAAATAATCAAGTCTTGACTGGTCAAACTTAAACCAACATTCCCATACCATTCTAACATTTCTGTATCTAGAGTGACTTCCCTTTGATTAATATACACAAGCAAGTTTCTACTATTAATGCCCAACTCAGCAATATTCAAACTACATGATACCAGTCTAAATAGTCATATCTTGCCAAGAGTGAGTGAGTGAGTTTAGTTTTATGCCGCACTCAGCGATATTCCAGCTATATGGCGGCGGTCTGCAAATAATCGAGTCTGGACCAGACAATCCAGTGATCAACAGCATGAGCAACGACCTGCGCAACTGGGAACCAATGACATGTGTCAACCAAGCCAGCGAGCCCGACCACCCGATCTCGTTAGTTGCCTCTTACGACAAGCATGGGTTACTGAAGGCTCATTCTAACACAGATCTTCACGGGTTATCTTGACAAGACAAATCATCAACTGATAAAATGAACAACTTCCCATGCCATCAAGCCACTGGATAATCCATTAACCAAGCCCCGTAATCTATGTAGTCAGTGTGAACAACAATTTGAAGTTTCTAGGAGCCTATTTTAACCCAGAATTCCCATGGAGGCCACACTCAGAAGCCCTTGTGCCCAACTGATACACATGGAAGAACTACAGGGTATTGGAACTGCCAAATGACATATTTTACATCAAACTGATACAGTCGTATTGACAACACCTCCTGTAGACAGAAGCAAGTCAAGACTGTTATACAATCCATGCAGATATATACATAGGATTCAAGTAAGGAATCTTAGAGCAGGTAAGGATTAAATCTGGGTTCTCTGCATGACCAGCTTCCACATGGGTCAGTTGAATTCTGATACAGGGGCTATATTAAACAAACAACTTTAAAGAATTAAAACAGTTAAAAAACTTAGTTGCTTAATAAATACGTCCCCAGAACTGATTAGAAACTACTGTCATTAGCATCTTGTTTCAGCTGCTGCTGACTTACCCCGGAGTTCTCTGATACTTGTGCATGGCAGCATTGAACGCCGCCTGTAGATCCCTGCAAGTACAGATCAACATTACACATTAGTCACAAATACCACAGCCACTGTGACTGACTACGTACTTTCACCACAAGGACCCCCAAAGGGGCTGTAATGGTACCAGCTGGTTCAGAAGCATGTGTTTCACATTGTGGAAAAAATACTGTCAGATACTGGGGAACTATGCAGGGGGAGATAACTGGCCTATCATATCATGCAGGTGAAGGTGAAATTCTATTATATTCAGTGTGCATCACTGACATGGTACATTCCTTATGTTCCTCGCTGGAATTGACAAATTCTTGGCATTACATTTGTAACATGCCAAACGCAATTTTGTATCTCAAATTTATGAGTAAGACGCCATTGTCTTGATTTTTAAAATACTTTCTGAATGAAAGGGGAATAACTATATGTTTGACTTCTGTCCCAAAAACGTAGATAAATGCCTACTTGGTACATTTACCAATTTCAACCAAGGCATTCATGTATAAGACATACCTGCAATATAATTAGGTGTGCAGTTAAGTAAATTCATTGTCCGCTGGTCCTGTAGGTGTAGGTTAATGTACCTCCATGCTTATTAACAAGGATCTCTTGCTTCGGGCAGCATGGGGCACTTAAACTAGCATGGGGGATACATTAGGCCATGCCCCCATCAAGACCAGTAGACAACTTGTGTTTTGGGTTCTTTCATTAGCATACATTGAAAGGATTCTACATGAATCATGCACTTCAAAATTTTTAAGGTGGTATAAGGATATGTTAGTAATTTGGATACACACACACACACACACACAAAATTGTCAGGACACACCCTTTTACAACACATACAATACTTGAATAAGCACCACATGTAAAAATGTTTGTTATAATTCTTTAATTAGTTCACTCAGATATTCATATCAAGCCTGTCTCTTCTTACAAATAGATTTTTAATCTATTATGCATCAGGGAAACAAATGTTGCTAAAGTTCAAAGAGGTTGTTTATACTCCATGGCAACAGTATTTAGGTCTGTATTTATACAACAGGGTCAGTGATTATGTTCTTATTTATCAAACAATGACACTTTCAAAACCCATAATTCATAACTCTCCTCTTTATCATGTAAACAAATAGCTACACAGTGCACCAAACAGTCTTTTTAAAGATGTTTAATTTTGATAAATATCAGTACATTTTAAATTAGGTTTCGCTGTGGAATGTTTGTGTACCACAAGTCATTTTAGCATTATGATGACCATATGTGCCCTAGCTAAGGTCTTCATAGAGCACAAATGGCTTGAGGAATGGATTGCCTGTACACAGAGGGTGCCAAATCAACATCTCTTGGCATCCGGCATACCACTTAATTCATCTTGGCATCCAATTTATGAACTCTTGAATGACATCCATGCATACAGCTGGGACAAGTTGATCAATTTACTAATAGGGGATAAAAATATATAATCTTTGCAAGAAAAAAAATATAATACATATTACCATTCCGCATAGCAGATAAACATGATGGCAGCCAGTGCACTGCACTGAGGCATCTGTAATGCCACTCAAGAGGGGCTTGGCAACCCAAAAGTTGGTTGGCACCTTCTACACAAGTTAGAGCGAAATGTCTGGCTACTTTTATTTCTCAGTTAGAGATGCACCCCAGATCACCGAGGAGAATTTCATTTCTACCCAAACATAATAGTACCAAGCTACTCTTGGATCACTTGTGCAAGACAGTCTTAGTGGTATGACAATGTTCAGTCTAAGTAAACTTAGGATCAGTATTATTCGTTACACTGCTATACTGAGTCTAACAAACCCTAGTAGAAGGTCGCGTCAGCTAACCTTTTGGACTGACCAATCAGAACACAGCTTACCAAATCTAGAAAGCTAACATTCGCCATACCGTTTGAACCTTTACCTAAAAAAACTTGACCGATTCCGAATGCTTCCGAGTGATACACATAGAGGACAGCCGCTGAACATAGCGTTTTTGTCAACATGTACATTTCAGGTGTCAACGAAATTTACAACCCTGAAAACAAACACACACACACTCTTATCAGCATATCAACTGAAATCTACAATCAACGTCAGTTCAATGCACTTCAAAACAGCTGCTATAGGCAACATACAAAAGCAATCAGGGAGCTATGGTGTTAATCAAACTGCCACTTAAACTCGTAAATCACACAATCGTACAGTGGGGAATACGCTGTATATTGCACACATATTGTTACTGCTGTTATTGACAAGAACACAGTGTTGTACATTTCATGCTTACACTCCAGTGCGAAAGGTTATCCAGCATCCCACTAAAGCTGAGGGCAAACACAATGTACACTTTGAAATTGCATTCTTTTTGGTTAAGGGTACAAAACCTAAGGAAAACTCATGTTTCAAGTTTTTTTATCGAACAATTTAAATCCCATGACACTTGTGATTGACTAATCAAAGAATCATTATCCATGACTTAGAACCGATGACCATAGGATTCTGGTGGCTAAGGGAAGCAACTCTGAACAGCCAAATTTCGCATTTTTTACCACAGGCTAACTGAGAATGTAGTTAGTGCTTTGTGTGGAACTGAGGAATTGTCTCTCTCTATTCCATTACAATAAACATCCCTGGAATCGACTATGGGGGTTATCAGATTCACTGAGATTGAGGTAAATTTGTTTTCCAAGAGTATGGAATTAATTAAGTTCAACATCAGTGAAGCTGAAATGTTTTATAGTCATGAAGCAGTTACATTCCCTTCAAGTAATATGACAAAGAAAACATTGTCATTCGAATTTTCAAATTTTGTGGAAAACACTTATAAAGATTACTTACACATTGGTCTAGAATTTAGTTGTCTGTGGTTGCTTATTGGAGCAGGGTGCTTGATAATGGCAAATACAGTAATCATTAATTTTTTGATCAAATCAAATCATTAAGTTATCATTACAACTATGGTAAAAGTGTTTGAATAGGTTTGAAATTATTATAAAAGTGTTGCTTGAGTCACTTTGCATGAGGACCGCCTCCATGGTGTAGTGGTTAGAGCGTCCGCCCGGAGAGCGGAAGGTCGCGGGTTCAATCCCCGACCGCGTCATACCAAAAGATGTTAAAATATGGTACTTGTTGGTCCCTGCCTGGCGCTCGGCATTAATGGGTCCAACAAGGACTGGTCGGCTCGGTGTCAGCATAATGTGTCTGAGTGGGGTATTCATGCTTCACTGAGGCATGGCATCTCAGTGGGCTAGCACTATAAAACCAGCTTCAGTCTGGGCTAGTACAAGCAGCCATACACATACACATACACCGCATGCACATCGTCATATGAGTGAAATATTCTCAAGCACGATGTTAAACCCAATTTCACCTCACCTCACCTCACTTTGCATGAGCCACATCGTCATGGGTGCCCTGGCACATGCAGGGAAGACTTCTCCCCCAGGTGTAATGGCTTTTGCAGAATCAAAAACAGTTTCCCCAAAATTTACACTAAATAAAGTTTGAAAAGAAAGATACTCACTTCATCATAACCTTGAATAAAGGTTCACTGACAAAATGTTAAAGGACAGATGCCAAGTGGACATTTTATGTCTCTAATTAAATCTCTTCCTCTTCTTATATAGAACCAGGTGGAAATCTAATCTCCCCTCTGCTGTGGGCATTAATTCAATTCCATTAATCCTGATCTTTATCAAACTTACATTCCTGATGATATCTTGGGGGGACAAGAGCAAAATTCAGATTCCTTAGATCACTGATGACAAAGATATATTACATATTGCGTGAGTTACTAACAACTGTTTGGAACTCATCAATAGCGAAACACCAGTTCATTATATAAAACTATTATGCTGGCCACAGTGGGGGGTTCAGTATTGTTCCTCTCGGACTGAAGAGAGGTTTGTCATGAACATATGTCTGATATCAATATATTAATCGGGAGAGATTTATATGTGAATATAGTTTTTTGTTGCTTTTAGCAATAGTCCTGCAATGTTAAGGCAGGGGACACCAGAACCAGGGTTTCACACGCTGTATCTATGTCGGAAACAAACCCAGCCCTTTGATGCTACAGGAGAATGCTTCAACTATGCCTCTACCCAGCCACCCCCATATTGACCTGAAACTATACCTTGTCAAGAGCATTATCAAGAATCTCAGTGATTTTCAAAGTAATAACCTATACTATCATGAACTGAGTAAAAACAGATTGGGAGATTATAATGTTTAATACAATGTCATCAGGCCCTAATGGTACAGACAGTTGCTCCTGCTATCAGCCTCTGGTTTGAATGAACAAGCTTTATTTTTCCATTACTTACTGCAGCACTAAATATCATTCACTTGCGATGCATCAGTGAATCATCACAGCCCTTGTGTTTAAACAAACATCTAATCTACAGAATGCACAATATTTTCTTTCAAACCACCAAATCAAAACAAAAGCAAAGAAAACTTTCAAATCTTGAAAAGAAATGATGTTTGAATTACTGATTAGGCCAGATCAATTTTATTTCTTGTTTTATGGATTTTTTTCCTCTGAAAACCTAAAGGCAGGAGGTAAAAAAATTAAAAAATCACTAGTCAAAATAATTTTCCTTTTAAATTCTAAAAGTATTTTATTTTTGGCACTATATGAAGTTTATATGGGGCAAAAACAATCCAAACATTTTTCTTGTAAGTTTACATTTTTGGTCCATTTGGAAAATTATTTTAATTTTTTTTTCTTATTCTTGAAAAAATATGACCGGCAGATCCGTAAAACAAGAAATAAAACTGGTCTGGCCTTATTAGATTTCCTTCATACATCAGTAGTTTGATCAAGTAAACCTATTGGGAGGTGTCCATTGTGAAGCACAAATGGTGAGGTGCTTAGTAACAACTGTACATGCAAACTTTGGGTTTTGTTTCCACTTTTAGTGGACCCCCTGTGGACTGGAATACTGTACGAAGTGGTTTTAAACCCAACTCATCCACTGCCAGAAGCCTTGAATCATGGGTCTGAAACCCACATCCTGGATGTCAACAAAATAGTGAAAGTCTGAAAACTGTATCACTTGGAGTGTTCCTCCACCATGAAACTTGATATGAGAATACTGCTGAAGTATTGTTTAAAGTGTTTAAACCTAGCTACCTAACTCTGTTAATTCATTCAGCTGAGCTACATATCACCTGTGTCCTTTAGGTTTCAAAAGTAAGAAAAAATGGGCCTAACCAGAGATTAATACTAAATCTCTGAAAATATACAATTTTGACAGAAACAAATAACTCCATCTAAATTGAAAACCTAAAAGATTGTGTGTGTGTGTGTGTGTGTGATTGTGTGTGATTGTGATTTTGTGTGTGTGTGTGTGAGAGAGAGATAGAGAGAGAGAGAGAGAGATTGTGTGTGTGTGTGTGTGTGTGTGTGTGTGTGTGTGTGTGTGTGTGTGTGTGTGATATAATGTGGTCCAGGGTCAATGAGACTATGGCGGATGAGTCCCTAACATTTCTACCTCCAGAGTTGGCAAGAGTTGATCTGTATTTTGTTTGTTGTACCAACTTCATCGCATACATGACACACTCATTATGTTCTCATTATAATTAAGGAACTAAGTGCATGAGCATATTTTGTTGTGCAAATAAATAACTGTAATGTTATAATTTGTGTCAGCAAATGAGAGTTAAGCATTAAATTACTTGATCAGAAAACAAATGATATTTTCACAAATTGCAGCAAAATCTATTAAAAAAATCAATTTATATGAGATGCCCGAGATATAAACATGCTATTTGATGAAAAAAGGGAAACATTTTAAAAGTAGGAATAACTATTTACTAATCAAACCATTTAGTAAACTTGGCATCAATGAAATAAACACTGGTTTCAGAATTTGAGCACATACCATCTAAAATAAATGTATTTTACATTCATTTTCAAAAACATTTCTCAATATACGTACCATGGTTTAGAATCTATAGGCACCAGTGACAACCTCATGATCATACACTCATTTTCTGATACTGAGATCTTTGGTAACTTGTAACACGATAGACTGTAGACATCACTGTGTGGGGTAATGTCACACATAGTGGGGTGGAGGGGGCACACAGGTAAGTTCATCCTCGCTACCAGGGGTACTTAATCTCCATTTTATTAAAGTAAATACACTGGACTCACTCACCATCAAAAGCTTCATATCAGAACGGCATCACCATCTCAATATTCCAATCACTAATTAAGCACTAATGTGAAATTTGCTTGGGTGGTGGTTATACATCAGGCTTGAATGAGTGAGAGAGTGAGTTTAGTTTTATGCCGCACTCAGCTATATTCCAGCTAAATGGCGGCTGTCTGTAAATAATATGGACCAGACAATCCAGTGATCCACAGCATGAACATCGATCTATGCAATTAGGATACAATGACATGTGTCAACCAAGTCAGCGAGCCTGAAAACCCGATCCCATTAGTCGCCTCTTACGACAAGCATGGGATCGGGCTTGAAATACAGCTACTGTAAATGGAAGTGGGTTCAGGGTCTTTATTACAACAAAATGGAGATAAAAT